TAGAATTAACCTATCTAGTACATGCTCTCCAATAAGACATGTTGCTGCTAGTCTTGCAATTCTGAGACAATTAAAAAACAGGGGGTTTTGTAGGGACTAGTTTTCAGCTGATTTCTATTTATTTAATTAAAAGTCACTTAATTGAAGTTAGATTAGTAAAAGTGAGGTGAAAATTGAGCATTCCCGAACAGTATTTGTAGGACAAAGAATTGGCCCTGTCTGGCATTATCATTATTGAATGGGTTTTATGTACTACTTTTATTGAAGTTAACTGCCAGAGGTCAGTGTAGATTGCAATGATACACTGAATACATAAATAAACATTGGGATTTTGCAGTGAAAAAAATTTCATCTTATAATGAGGGACACTAAAATATAGCTGTAGCCCTGGATACAGGAGTATATGGTATTGATATGTTTCAGAAAAATGTTGACAAAGGCCATTGCTTTGTACTAGTGAAAATGTTGTAAAAATAAGTTTAATATTACTTCAAGATAAAAAAAACTGAAGCTGATCACTTGGATCACTTGGTTAAGTGCCAATTTTGGTGGCTGTCACTAAAGAAAGACATAGCTACATAGCTAGCTGCTCTACCTGTGCCTCTCCCAAAAGGCGGCAAGGGAAGACACCAGGGCTCTTCAACCAGTGGCTGAGCCCAAAGCCACATGGAAAGATTTCAATGGACTTCATAGTGGAGCTACCTGAGAGTTCAGGAAATACTGTGATATGGGTGATAACTGATTTATTTTCTGAACAAGTACATCCCATCCGCTTGCACCTTAGCCAAGTTGTTCATACAGCATGTCTATAGACTGCACGGAGCCCCAGAGAGAATAATCTCAGATCAGGGAGTCCAGTTCACTTCACAGTTTTGGCAAGAGTTCTTAAAACCTTTGGGGACCACTTACCTCCTCACATCATCTGGAAACGAATGGAGGCTCTGAACATACGAATGAGATCCTGGAGCAGTACCTCAGGGGTTATATTTATTATCAACAGGACAATGGGCAGACATTCTTTCTTTCACTAAGATTGCCTACAACAACTCAGTGCACAATAGCACTGGATTCACCCTTTTTAAAGTGGTTACAGGGCAGGATTTTGTGTCTATCCCCGATTTGCTCCAGGTCATCCCATTGACGGCCTCTTTAAAGGAGTGGATAACCCAATTACAAAATACCTGACCAGTAGTAAGGAAAGCACGGGAGGAGGCAAGGGAAGCATATAAAAAAACAAGCAGACAAAAGGCGTGCAAAACCAAAAGACTTTAAAGTTGGGGATAAAGTCTATTTATCTACCAAGTACTTACAATCTAGACAACCTTCCAAGAAACTGGGTCCAAAGTATGTTGGCCCTTTCCCCATAAGAAGGATTATCAACCCAGTGACTGTTGAACTCAAATTATCAAAAACTCTTAGACGTGTGCATCCGTTATTCCACTGCAGCCTCCTAAAACCAGAAATCATGTCTTCCCTTTGCTCAAAATCACAGCTACCTCCCAATCCCATCATGATTGAAAGGGAGCAACAGTTTGACGTTAAGGACTCTAGCATGTATTGAGGAAAAACTCCGTATTTAGTGGCGTGGAAGGACTTTCCTCCCTCTGAAATTGAATGGGTGGATTCCAAACACATTAAAGCATCCAAACTGCTAAAAAAGTTTCATGAACAATACCCAGATAAGCCTTAATGACCAGCTAATTAACTCTGCATTTTCCTGTGTGTCTCCCCCTCATTTTTTGGAGTTGAGGGTCTTTCTTTCCTAAGGGACCGGACTCAGGCAGGTCTGACAGTTTGGGGATAAAACAGTTCATATAATCTGATAGTTAAAAGACTATTTCATAATAAACTACATATTTTATATTCAGTTGCTAGAATCATTTTCTAAATGATAGATGCTAAACAACATAGCCTGTTGTATATGGCACAATTAGAGTACTGATATCTCCTTACACACCCAACGCACACACTTTACATCAACATAATATGCAAGATTTCACAATCAAAATAAACAATAAAATATTTCTCAATCCCAAGGTTGAAAAGTTATATTAAAGACATCATGAAGGAGTTCAGGGTCCATTTTGTTTAAAATAGGACATGTTAGCATATAGTGCCTCAATATCCATGGTGACTGAAATTGTGGTGTTAGGGAGATTGCCAATAGAGTTCAGTATTCTTAGGAAGTCTGTGGCGTCTTGTATGCAGCTGGGAGTGCTGGTGGAATAGGGCAGGGGTATCCAGCCCTGGCAACCTTAAGATGTGGACTTCAACTCCCAGAATTTCTCAGGCAGCATGGCTGGCTGAGGAATTCTGGGAGTTGGAGTCCACAAGTCTTAAAGTTAAGTCCACAAGTCTTAACATATAGGAGTTGGAGTCTACAAGTCTAAGTACAGGACCTATGAAACTTGATAATACATGGAAAAAATGTACCAGTGTCCCCCACAACATATACTTCAAGCCATCATGAACATAATCACTCTGTACCAACACAGCATACCTTGCCACCAGACTATATGACTTTGTATTTACCCATAACTAATTCACCATTGGTTTGCATATACTTGCAAATCTGTGGTGCAGTCATGGGAATGGCTTATGCATGACTTCATAATATGCCAACATTTTCATTGGTGATTTTGAACATTTTCTCATATTTTTTTTAGTTGAAACTCTTCCTTTATTTGAGGTTCATTGATGACATCAATGTTGATACAATTTTACAGAGGAATTATTGAGTCTGTTATTTGTACTTTCATAACTGGTACAGGACAGGTACAGACTCCAATGGATAATTAAAACTGCAGAAAGAACAACTGCAACTATCTGCCTTCCATAAAAGACCTGTATATTGTGCAGGTCAGAAGGAGGGTCTGACAAGATATCTGTAGAGCTTTCACATCCTGGACATAAATTGTTTCAACTCCTTCCCTCAGGACAGTGCTTTAAAACATTCTATGCTGAAACATACACAGGGATAAGTAATGTGGCTATAGTATCATTATCTTCTTTACTTCCCCTTTTATTGGTATTATTATTACTATTATTATTACTATTATTATTATTATTATTATTATTACTGTATTATTATTGTATCATCACATAGTCAGATGTTCAGACTGAGTTTGGCATTTTTGTCTACCTATCGAGTCCTTACCAAGGACCTGGGATAGGCAGATATGGATGTTCGATGGTGTTACAGATATCATCGCAGGATGGAAGCTGTTCTGAGTAAAGCTGCCTTTTGCAATTGACTGATGGTGAATTTGTCAATGCCAGTGGTGTTCAAGTGGTGCTCCAATTGTTTTGGGATTGCACCCAAGGCGCCTATTACGATTGGTACTACCCTTGCTTGCTTTTGCCACAGTCGTTCTATTGCTATTTGTAGGTCTCTGTATTTTGTTATCTTCTCCAGTTCTTTCTCTTCAATTCTGCTGTCTCCAGGGACTGCCACATCCATTATCCAGACTTTTTTTTGTCTTTCTTATCGACAATATTATTATTATTAATAAATTATTATTAATAATAATTAATAATTATTATTATTAATAATAATATTTAAGATTTAATCTTCAATTCAATTCACAGTCTGGGACTGGTAAAAACTTAACAGTTCAAGCCCTAACCAAGGACCTAAGAGCTGTTAAAGTAGCGTCTGAGTATACGTAGTTCCGAGTAAGGTGGTTTTTTTTTTGCAAAGTCAGAATATTCAGGTCTAATAAGTTCAAATTTTCCATGTATCTAGGCAACCCTTTGAGTATTGCTCCAAGGGCTCCGATTAATAGTGGTATAACCATCGATTTCTTCCTCCACAATCCCTCAATTTTAATTTGCAGATTGTGTTATTTTGTTATTTTTTCTAGCTGTTTTTCTTCAATTCATGCATCACCTGGTATTGCAATATCAATGAACCAGACTATTCTTTTTCACAATAGTGATGTCAGGCGTGTTGTGGGCAGATGTCTCTCTTTTTGGATTTGAAAGTCCCACCTTGACCTGTTCATTTTCAAGACCTTTGTCAATTTGATGTTCCCAGTAATTTTTCTGCATTCGAACCCAAGCTTCTGGCAAAGATTTCAGTGTATGATTTTGGTAACTCGATCATGACGTTGTAGATAATCAGTTTGTGAGATTTTTTTTTTATTTTATTATTATTATTATTATTATTATTATTATTATTATTATTATTATTATTATTATAGTTGTTGTTGTTTTGCTTTGCATGTACACTGTGCTTCTGTACCAGAGACAAATTCCTTGTGTGTCTAATCACACTTGGCCAAATAAAGTATTCAGTTCAATTCAGTATCTCTTCAAATTCCATAATTACATCAACGACTTGCACCTCACCATCAATTTCAACCTTAATCTATCTACAAGTCTATTTCCTTGATGTCACAGTAAACTTACACAATGCACACATAAGTACATGATACAGAAAACCTATAAGTCATCATTAATAAGCTACAGTATGTACCGCACAATGGAACTGTACTTAGTCAGGTAGTAAGTAGCAGACCTGCATTTGTATACAGATAAACTGCCCAACTGAACTGATTACTGACAAAGAGCAAAAACAATAGAACAATGATGTTAACATAGGAACCAGATCCTACATCAGACTCATATTTTTTACTTTGCCTTCCTATGTATAACAAATCATAGGCACCAAACACAAGATTGGAAGTTCTTTCAAGTGTTTTTATCTAATGTGATGTATGCCTTCATATAGGGTAGTTTACACAATCTATTGCTAGTTATGAAAATGAAATGAAATTCTTGGATTATATAAAAAAAAGATTTAATTTTTTTTTTACTGGCAACTTTTTCATATAATTTTTTTGATGTAATTTCTTTAAATCCTCTAATACCAATAGATTAATAATTACCTAGCAAGTTCTCTTCATTTATGTTTGGGATATTTAGTAGATTCTTGGATAATAAAAGACAAAATTTGAATTATCTTTAAAAATTAGCGTTATTATTGTTTTTATATTTAGGGAAGAAGAAGAACGTTTGAGAAATAAAATTCGTGCAGATCATGAAAAAGCACTAGAGGAAGCGAAAGAGAAACTGAAGAAGTCAAGAGATGAGATCCAAGCAGAAATTCAGACTGAGAAAAACAACATTGTAAAAAATTTGAAAAGAAAAAGTAGCAATCCTCTGCCACCAGTCCCTGTGCCAAATCTTGTAGGAATAAACAGTGGAGATCCAGTGGATCCAGATATACGAGAAAAAAGGGATAAAATTAAAGAGGTAATGAGTTATGCCAATGGTTGTTACCTCCTTATCTTTATTGATGTGAGAAGCATTTCTATAAAGCTCTTGGAGACCTTACTGTAAGTGAGGCTAAATGATGTGGCTTTTGGATTTTTTGCTGTCTAAATGCTATCGGTTTTGCAATTTATTTATTTAATTAATTTATATAGCCTCCTACTTAGTACATGACTCAGCAGTGAGCACGCAACTCAGGATGCGAATGATTTGAAATAAATATAATGTTTGTGTAGGGCTTTTGTGGTGGGGTAGTTTCAAATTAGCCATGCTTTCCGGTGACTGCCTGAACAGGTTCTCTGCAGTTTATTGACAGCATTGTTTGGCTGTAGTTTGTATAGATTATCTTCTGTTATGTAAGTTAAATGTAATCATGCCTGTACTTAAGATACATTTTAATAAGATAGCTGCCAAAGTTTCTTACAATCATCAGAGAGAATATTGCCCAATCATTGTGCACTTTGAAGTGCACAATATTCAGAAGAATATTCTGAAGAAATGTAGGGAGGAGATTGTGAATACAGATAGTCCTCAAGATACAACTGGTCACTTAATGGCAGTTCGAACCCTCTGTACATACTACCCCGTTTCAAAGTTATGGTTGTTGCAGTACCCCTATAGTTATTCACCCTTACGACCTCTCCTGCCTCTCTCACACTGCCTCTCTCTCCCCATTCCACCCCACCAGGACCTCACAGTTCTTGGCCCTGATCCCCACACCCATCACACATTCCACACTCTGTGAAGATCTCTGGACCGAATGTTGCAGAAGAAAGGACAGACCACACGTCCCTAGGCCACATGGTGGTGCCCTGGAAATGGCCACCATTTCCCCCCATCTACTTGTGGGCAGGAATAAAATGGTGAGCACAAGACAAACCATTCCATTTTGTTGGCTTAATAAGGTTGCACAGTGCTGCAGAAAGTTCTGCAGCACTGTGCAAACCATGTTAAGTCACCAAAATGGAATGGTTTGTCCTGCAGCCACATAGTGCGATTCCAGAAGAGCGGCAATACTGGAAGACAAATTGGCTACTGGAAACACTGGAAACATTTGCGACCGCTTCTGGAATCATGCCATGCAACCGAGAGACAAAACAACTCATACAGCTTTATGAATATGGGTGACATTACGAATAAATACCTATGTGTACACACACACACACACACACACACACACACACACACACACACACACACACACGTGTGTGTGTGTTACATATACACCATATACATTATAATCATTATGAATATATTGATAGTGTTGATTATTGCCATGTTCCTGTTCAGTAGAGAGCATCTGCATTTTATTAGCTAGGAGTCCTTCCAGGCAGAAAACCTGGATTAGATCTAAACTATTACAATTTGAAATACATTACCATTTCCCGTTTTCAGATTTTTAAGTGCTATTTTGGGTTTATTTCATTGAATTAATTTATTAGCCACCACAATCACCAATGCAACTCTAGTAACCATGCAAAGATAAGACACAGACATAAACATAGGCAACAACGAGAAAAATATAAAGTGAAAGGAATCAGTGGATTTCAAGGATTAATAGAAGATCGATGCATATAAGATGGATGTGTAAAAATGTTTTTTGTTAAAACATTGACAGGTAATAGCGACATGCTACATGCTAACATTTGTATTTTATTTCTTTTCTTTTTTTTGTAGATGATGAAACATGCCTGGGATAATTATCGGCAGTATGGATGGGGGCATAATGAACTGAAACCTATTGCTAGGAAAGGACATTCCACAAACATATTTGGTAGGTAATTTATATTGAAAATTCTACATTACATTTTCTTCTTTATATTAGTGTATCATCAATAATGTATTTTGCTATGTGATTGACCAGCAGAAATTAAGGTAGAACTGTAGAATCTATAGAAAGGGACAAAATAGAATAGAAATAATATTAAGAACTGGTTTGGTCTAGTAGTTAAGGCACCAGGCTAGAAAGCAGGAGACCATGAGTTCAAGTTCCACCTTAGCCATGAAAGCCAGCTGGGTGATCTTGGGCCAGTCACTCTCTCTCAGCCCAATTCACATCACAGGGTTGTTGTGGGGAATATAGGAGGAGAAAAATGTGTTGGATATGTTTGCCACCTTGAGTTATTTGTAAAAATAATAAAGGCAGGATACAAATCAATACAAATTAAGACTTCATGCAAGATAATATGATTATTGGTTAATACACAAGAATGTTTAAATATTAGATTAATTGGCTTAATACAGGTAATCCTCGACTTACAACAGTTCATTTAGTGACATTCAAAGTTACAATGGGACTGAAAAAGTGACTTATGACTGTTTTTCACACTTACGACCATTGCAGCATGCCCATGGTCACGTGATCAAAATTCAGATGCTTGGCAACTGACTCATATTTATGATGGTTGCAGTGTCCCGGGGCCATGGGAATCACCTTTTGTGACCTTCTGACAAAGCAAAGTCAATGAGAAAGCCAGATTTGCTTAACAACTGGGTCACTAATTTAACAGGTGCAGTGATTCACTTAACCACTGTGACAAGATAGGATAAAATGGGCACAATTCACTTAACAAATGTCTCACTTAGCAACAGAAATGTTGGGTTCAATTGTGGTTGTAAGTCAAGGACTACCTGTAAAAGATATTAAGATGTCCTTTTATTATAAAATTTATATTAATACAGCAGAAAATTAGTGATTTTCTAGCACTAGTACTGATGATGTTATCTAGTTACCGGTAGGGTAATGAAATGTCTGCAAGAAAACAAGCAAGCTCAGAGAGCACCAAGGACCCCTCAATTGGTGATTTTCTATAACCATTTATATAAATGTGTGGATATGACTTTAATTAATCGAATTCTATTTATGGTCACAGACTAAAACAAATGGTAGCATGAGGATGAGGACCTTAACACAAGATGAGTTACAGTGCAGAAGTAAATCTACTCTTAAACTGTCTACAGCTTAACTAATTCCTCATGAATTGGGTATGCAATAATGCAAATTTAGCTACAGTGTTATTTTAGAATATCCAAGAAGAGTTATTGAATATAAAATTAATCAGAAGCCCTAAGAACATCTTAAGTAGCAGTTCTAAGAGAGAGTTTTATGACATCTATATCACTTATTGAAGTCATTAAAATAAATTTTAGATATAAGAAGGTTGACCCAAGATAAAAGCAGAGGTACAACTGAGAAGTTAAATATTTCTTTCTAAGTTTAAATGATAGCAGAACAAAGGTTGCAATCTGATGCTAATAGTTGGAAACACATCTGCAAAAAGGTAGTTTGCTTTGTGTCTTGATTTACTCATTATATGGGCTTTTTGTGATCTCTCATATGGCTGATGGGTCCTAGAAAAGCCTGGAAGGTTGGGAGAGGTGGAACCATTTTTAAAACAATAACAACACTTTTTTTTCTACAATTTATCACAAAATGCCTGAAAAAAGGAGAGTTTCCAGAGCTATCTTGCTTACCAGAGTAATAGAAAAAGCAGAAATGTTATCTCCAGCAAGTTGACTCAATGATATTTGCAGGGAAAGGTACACCTTGTAACTTAATTTCTGCGAACTATTTATCTTGGCATAGCTAGTAGAATCATCAGACAGCTCTCTATAGTGAGTCCTATCTTAATTTTCAGGATTTGACCCATATGTTTAGATCAGGTTTCCATTCAAGTGAAGAAAAATATCTTGTAAGAACCATTGTGGATATTTTAGCACTTTGGTGGCTGAGATGAAAAGATGAGCTTTGGTTAGAATCTGCACATGATTACTTATCTTATGCTCAACCATCAATCTAGATCTGGGGTAGGCAACGTTGGCTCTTTTATGACTGGCTCAGGAATTCTGGGAGTTGAAGTCTACGAGTCATAAAAGAGCCAAGGTTGCCTACCCCTGATCTAGATAATTGCAACTTAGTGTAGAGCCGCTCTTGGAAAATATTTGAAAAGTGTTGCTAGTACTAAATGCAGTAGTTAGATTGGGTTTTGATGCAGGCAGGTTTTGTGAATTTTACAGCTTTGTGAACAACTACTCTTGAATTTTAAAAAAATGCTTTGGGTTTGCTTTTAGGCCCAGTTTATATGTGTTTAAACAAGCTAACTGGTTAAAGGTCAAGATATGTGAAACTTGTTATTAACCTCGCTATCTCTTAAAATCTGCTTTAGAAGAAGTGCTTTTTTTCTAAAAAAAAAAAAAAAAAAAAAGGTGCCAGAACTCACATACGTTATACAACCCGCCTTGCCTACCCTACAAGGTTCCATCCAAAAAAGGTGCCGGAACTCCGTTCTGGGCGTTCTATGAGAAAAAAAGCCCTGTTTAGAAGGATTGAATGCTAAAAGGTTAAATTGATAGAGATATAAGCAAAATTTTATTTATGCTAGCATCTTGCCTTTGGAATCCCCTTTCTAAAGAAATAAGATTTAAGTCATCTTTGGTATTTTTAGATTGGCAGTAAAATCTGTTTTACATACGTTTTTGTAAATTTTGATTTTGATGGATTTTAAATGACTTTGCCCTTGTTGCTTTAAAGTTTATTTGTTCTGTTTAAATTGTGTTATGAGTTTGTTCATTGCTTTCAGCTGTTTTGGGTGAAGAGATAATTTATAAATATTTGAATAAATAGCAGAACAAGCTGTCAAGTTGATTAATAATCAGGATGCTGAAGGAAAAATAAAATTTTATTTTCTCAGACGGCTGGTGTAAAGACAGGAATTTTAACTTGTGGCACCGAAAAGCTAGGCTATGCCAAAAGGATTATAGGATTAAACAACAACTATTTGGGTTGAAGTCTGAATTATTATAAAGTGTCACCAAAGTTGTCAAGAGAAAGGAGAACCAAGTTCTCCATTTATAAACAGTTGTCAATAGTATGAGATTTTGTAACATGTTAGTTAGCACTGTGTAAAGTTTTGCAAGTATTTCTGCAGCAATGTGGGTTGAGCAAAATAAATTATTTGATAACATTTTTGGTTTTCAGTTTTCATTAAAAATACCTAGTGTTCTACAAATTATTGACAGAATTAAATTTAGAATAAAGAGAAAGAGTACTGTATATATTTACAAGCAAGTCCAAATATGCAGTATATTCGAGAATAAGATGAGGGATCTTCATTATGTTGAAAATGTTTTTTTAAAAAAACAACACTAGAAAGGCAGTTATAGGTACACAGGCACTGCATGTTACAGCCAGCATGCAGACTGATGATTCCTCATCACTATTCTAGCTTATGTATGGTACAAAAACGTTTCTGTTTTATTTTTCATTGAGAAATTTTTAAATTTCATTTAATTCTACAAAATGTATTCGTCCATAAAATAACTAGTAGTGTATTGAATTACACTGCAGTTCAAATACAGGGAGGTTTAAAAGCTGTAATTAAATCTTGTCAGATGACTGTGACAGTCTTTGAGTAACTAAATTTAACAAAATTTTCGTTGTCCTTTCCCCTCTGTTAATATTAACAATAACTTAGCATGTTTCAGTGTCAAACTGATAGGTACTCTGCTGCCTGTATGTACAGATGGAGTAAAACTTGATCATAGTATTATATGTGGGTTAGGGTTAGGGTTAGGGTTATACGTGGAAATAGACTTAATAGGAGTCTTTTAGCTGAAGATAAGATACAACTTGCATTTCTTTGTGTAGTTCCTACTCACGCAGAGTATAGCGATCACCACATCATGAATAGAGAACAGATTTTGCAGTAGTATCTGATTGAAAGCTCAGATGCACAGGCAATCTTGACTTCCAGAGACAAGACAAAAATTATTAAATATATGACTGGATAATAATATTAGCTACAATCAATTTTAAATGTAAACATAAGTTAAATGCAGTTTACATTTTGTCTTGGAGTTTGGCCCTGGCATGTCACTCAGAAGCCAACTATAATTGTTGCTTTTGGGGGGGGGGGGAAATCAAGCATTGTTTTTGTTCCTGATAACTCCAAATAATAACAGTCAACCCTGTTATTATCCCAGCTATCTGTGTAGCTGGGCCCTCTAGCCATGGAATTCTCTCAAGCTCTGTTTCTTGGTCATGTTAGTGACACTGGTAGTGGCTTCAGTAGATGTGTAGTGATTCAGAATTGCTGATTTTCACAATAAAAATGACAATGTAGTTATTTCTGCCCCAAAGGAAGTTTAATGGACTTGCATTTGATTAATCTGAATCATCCAGATTGTTGCAAATTTGTATAGGTGAGAGGTTGTTTTTTCCAATCAGACATTGCTGCTCAGCATCTCCAATCAGCTCTTGGTACTCCAGATGTTGATTGAGAAGTGATGCATGGCTTAATGTGCAGTACATCTTCTCTGTGCGTTTCTTTTGGTCAAATAATTGCTTTGTGAATATATTGGCACTATTAAGCTCTTCTAGGTGGAATGTGACGGTAATAATATCTTTTTCCTCTTCTAGTCCATGGGGCTGTTCCTCTGACTTTTTCAGTGTAATTGAATGTTTGATGATTTTTTGTGAAGAAGATTGAATAATCTCATTTTCAGAGCCTATACCTGTCCAAAACAGTACTATTTCTTTGCGAAAAGCAGCAACAGTCAGTGTAGTGATGAGTATACAAGGCACTAAATATAGAAGAGTTGACTGACTTGCCTGTAGGAATGTTGTTACCACAAAAGTCACCAACAGACCATAGCTGTATGCCAGAATAGAAGCTAGGAAATAGATCCCTGGAGACTCAACTTGAACATCAAATCTGTGGCAATAGGCTACCAAGAAACCAGGAAGTACAACATCCCCAAGGCCTATAGCAGTAAATGAAGCATTATCCAGAAAGGATGTTGATGGTAATATTGGTACTTTCAACAGAAAAGGGATCTCTTCTGAGTTAGATGACCCAAAAATCGTCATATCTGTAATGTCTCTACCTGTTTTAGTTAGAAATGGTGTGATTAACAGGCAAAGTATATCATAAAACAAATGAGTGAACAGAAACAAGCTGCAGTTCTTTAAGGTAGGCATGTGAACTGTTCTCAGAAGGTAAATGCCAATTGAAATTCCTAAAACATCTTGCAAAACCCAGCTCCACCAATTTTCATTTCGGAAAATAATCCAGGTTGCATTGACAGACAAACACAGCATTGCTAGAAGCAATGCTCTGATTTCTAGATCTTTATGGAAATATGGAAAATGGACTAAATGTTCTCCAAACGGGAGTTTGTTCACAAATGGAGTCAAACACCAGTATAGGCTAAAAGATGCATAGATACAGAAAATGCCAATCATTGCATGCATCATATAATCATAGAAGCAGTAGAGAGAAAGAAGCATGAAGGTGCCCATTACCATACAGGTACATGTGAAGCAGATATTGGTATCAATTGTTATCTCATCAAAATCTTGTGTTTGGCCCTGATTTTTTATATTGTCTTGTTTTTTCTTCTCCGTGCTTCCTGCCCAGTAGCTTCCTATGGTCACTATGCCCATTGCCATCAAGTAGATGATCCCAGTTTTGTATAACAAATTTCTAATCAGATTTTTGAATAGTAAATAAAGAATATCCACATCACTGAGCATAAATCCTGGGAGAGTAATCTCTTCACAGTGGCCCCAATTGTATCCAGATCTCAAGCTTTTCATTGGATATGGAGCGTCTCCACCAAGAATCAGAAACCCCTCCGTGCTATTAATCCGATGGACTCTTGCATTCTGAAAGAGATTGCAATTTCCCTGTCTGATAGAAGCAATTCTTGTACTAAATCCACCACCATCATTGTCGTCTTCCCCAAAGAATGAAGGCAAGCAACACATGGCTGAATAGGTGAAGTTCTGAGTAAATGACTCAAGGTCAAACCAGTGTTTCTTGTTGTCTCCCTGATACGATTTTATCCATTGAGAAGGGAAAAGGAAACAGTAATCACCTCCTTTTTCTGGCCTGATGTGGAAGACTCCAGGGTTCTGAGCTAGCACAGATGGAATCAAAGTAAGGAATAGTCTGATGAACAGCAGCATCATTCTCTTTGATGTTCTATCATTTATCTTCATCTTTGGTACAAACAGTAACTGGGTGTTGTTCCCCTCTTTTAGAAGAGGTTGGGCTCTTTTTGGTCTTCAGTAGAAAGCCCAGGTCCCTATGCTTGCTACATGATAAGCTCTTTCCTGATAACATTATCTTCTCACCATGGCTATAACCCCCAACCTTGTTTGTTACATAATAAGCCCACTTTTCTTACCATGGATACAGTTATCCACCTTTGTCTGCTGCATTGCAGTCTTCATCCTTTCTCATAGATATTTGGCCCTGCCTTTTGTAAAGACAAGCTCAATGAGATTATTACATATCAAATATGGAAGCAGAATTACAAAGCGGCAGTGGGATTTGGCTGCTGCTTAATTTGGTTATCTTTGTGAAGCAACTGTAATGTGAATATTTCAGTTTAGAGAGTGTCCTCAAAGGCTATCAAATGTGATGTTAAATGTTTCTTATATGGTGTCTCAGTGCTGTTTAAAGAAGCGTGAAGGATTATATTAGAGCACATGTCTTTCACGTCTTCAAAGCCATGCAGTAGATAATAAGATTGATGAGTTTCACAAGGAATTTTCTCCATAACTGGTAAATAGTGAAATGTTTTTTACTTTGCAGCTTTTGGGGAAGAACTAGTAACATGTTAGCAAACAGCTTGTTTATGAATAATCAGAATTCTTTTGAAGCCTGGCTTATGAGCTTCACACGATGGTGGCCACTGTTGATAATGCATTTATCAAAATAGACTGGAAAATATGACAAACTGTAGTTCAGAAGGGCAACATTAAAGAAATTGCATTACTTAATATTGAAATGAAAAATATTTACTATACTTATATTCCATCAAATAAGAAATGAAAATGTGAAGGCATGGACTAATTCCTTAAATGAAACAGTGAAAAGCCCCAAACAATAATTTTCTAGAAAATAGTTTAATACATAATAAGCAAAAAATAGAAAAAAACAAAGGAATAACTAAAGGGTTTAGGAAGATGAACAGAAAAAACAGCTGTGATTGTAAATAAAAAAGACAAATATTTAAATTTTGAATATCTTAATACAAATTAAATAAGGAAATATTTATGGTAGGGGTTTGTTTTTTTTACAGCCTGAGGTCCAGGCTCAAATTTGGTAAATTCTCAGAATTATATTCCAGTGCTGGGTTGGAGCAAATCCTGAATAGGCCTGAGAGTTATGGTATTTCTTTCTATGAGTTCTGTACAACTTTCAATTCTCTCTCCAGGTTTCCCATTCTCTAGTTCTGATGAATCTTCTAGAATGTTGATTATGTATGTAGTTAATATTACTTCCTGTTACTTCTTCAAATTGTTTTCAGTTAACCTGGCCTAAAGAAAGCTTTTGGTTCCACAAAGGTTTGAGAACTGTTTCAGCTGGTAAGCAATTGAAACAGAGATGTTTATTTTTGATATTCTAAAAATTCTTCATGGTTTACACATAACCATTTTTATCATTATACAAACCACGATGCTCATAACTGAGTCCTTCAATTTAAATCTCTCTGTCAACGACATTGCCCAAATGACATTAAACTTCAATTGACAGTTGCATTTTCAGCCTGTAATAGAAACAGTTCTACACATATTGAATATGAACTAAGATCCTGTACAGAAGTACTGGAGGAATAACAGGAGAGGCAGTTTGGTGTAGTCATTGAGGCATCAAATTAGAAACTGGGAGACTGAGTTCTAGTCTTAGATACAAAACCAGCTGAGTGCCTTGGGCCATTCCCTGTTTCTCAGCTCAGGGAAGAAGGCAACAGCAAAACACACTTTCGACAAACATTTCTAGGAAAACTGCTGGGACTAATCCAGACAGTCACCAGAAGTCAACACTAATTTGAAGGCAAACAAATACATACATACTTACTTACTTATTTTTTATTTTTTAACAGGCTATGGGGCTATGAAAGTAGTTTTCCATGTCACTATTCATTTTGCTAGTTTTTGGCCATAATAATTTTTTAAACAATTTGAATTGAATTTGAAGACAGCTCAAGCATTTCTGATCAGCATTGGGCAACCCATTACACTCATTAACTTTTCTATCAGGAAATGCTATAGAAATCATAGAAGGTGCAGGTAATCTTCGCTTAATGAACCTAACTGGGATTGGAATTTCTATCATTAAGTCAAGCGATTGCTAGGCAGAACTTCATATAATCGCATTGCTTAGCAAGGGCAGTTCCATTAGTCCCAGTTGCACTCATTAGGCCAGGACTGTGCCATCATTAGGCAAGCATCTCACATTTTTCTCACCTTGCCTGCCTCCACTTATCCTCCCCTATCTCTGCCTTTTTGGCTACCTCTCACTTTGCTGTCCCAGTTGAGCTTCGCCATCTTCTTCCTTACACTGTTGATGCACACATGGCTCATGTAGCTAGCAACTACCATATGGAGGACCAGCCAAGTTTCCCTGTCGGCAGCAGAAGGAAGAAGATGGCTAAGGTCAGCTCGGGGGCAAGGCAGTACATATTTTAGATGGCAGGGTGGCAGGGCAGCGGAGTACAGGACAAAAGAGCAGAGATGGGGGCAAGATAGATGAGTGGGGGGAGTTGAAGCACACTTTGCAGGCAGACTGCCAAACACCCAAATTTTGATCATGTAATGGTTGTAACTACAAGGACAAGTTTGAGAGCTAATTTGGTCTAATGGTTAAGGCACCAGGCTAGAAAGCAGGAGATCATGAATTCAAGTGCCACCGTAGCTATGAAAGCCAGTTAGATGACCTTGGGTCAGTCATACATTCTCAGCCGAACTCACCTCACAGGGTTGTTGTGGGAAAAATAGGAGAAAGGTGGTGTTGGATATGTTCACTACCTTGTAATATTTGTAAAAGTAATAAAAGCAGGATACAAATATTTTTTTCTTTTTATGACCCTGTAATCCCTTGATTCGGGATACAAATAAATAATGTTGTAAATTCCATTTGTTCAATGCTGTGGCAACACTGAATCGTTGCTGAGTGAATGGTTGTTAAGTGAGGAATACCTTTGGTAATTATTTGGTAATATCAGACCATAACTGCCCTAAAAAGAATCTGGACTCAACTGGTTGCAGCAGATAATTATCAGAAACAACTCTTTGCTCTGAGGTAAACATCCAGACTTTTGTAATCCAGAACTGGCAACCTTGAGACCAGCCCTGTATTGTAAATGTTGGTGAATGTTTATTTTCATAAAAGTGCTCTTTTAATTATTTCTGTATTCTTATTCTAATCTTTATTTGATTTCTAAATAAGGGCATTAAATGTTTATGAAGTATTGTTTCAATTGATAACTGGGTAATAGCTCTGGAAAGGGTATTTATAAATGATATATTTATCATGGAAATACTGGATTTTAATTGTAGGCAATTCCCAGCTGGGAGCAAGCATAGTAGATGCTTTGGATACCCTCTATATAATGGGCCTTCATGATGAATTCAGAGAAGGACAGGAATGGATTGAGAATCATCTTGATTTTAGTGTGGTAAGAAAATGTATCTTAGAACATTATTGTTTAGAGAAACTTAAAATTTCATTCTACCAGTGTTTAAAAATGATTTGTGATAATGGACATGAAAGCTTTGTAAAACTTCAAGAACACTTTTTATTGCAATTTTTTAAGAGTGAATTGGTGTTCCTGTTGATTTGCAAGCACTTACTGTATTTATGTTGTGCTAGTACTTTTTTCTTTTGCACTCATTTTTATGAGACTTCTTTTGAAATGTCCAGTGATATTTTGCATAATTAAGTATCATTGTTTTAGTCACATCAAGTATTAAAATGTAAATTTAGTTAGCTTGTACTGGTTTTGTTTCAGCTATGCTCATGTTTTTCAGAAATCATATTTTTTAAAAAACCAGAAATCACATAAGAGTTTTCTTAATCCCCAGTCTTTATATTTGATCCATTTAAAAGTTGTATTAAAAGTTTTCACATCCAATTTTAATTAATCCCAATTTAGCATTGCGTCCAAACTCAAGATAATTAATTTTCACTGTTACTAGTAGCAACAGTGGCTTACTATCCCAAAGAACTGCTATAAAGAGTAATTACTGTACAATTTGTCGAAGGTAGAAGCAGAAATCCTCCGTTTATTTGCTGTAAGGATGCACATGAAATGTAAATGCAGTGTATTAGTATTTAGTTTATACCTAAAGAATCTATCTTCTTATCTGTTTCAAGAACTCAGAGGTATCTGTCTTTGAAGTCAACATTCGTTTCATTGGTGGCTTGCTTGCAGCTTATTACCTCTCAGGACAGGAGGTAAGGGAGCCACTGTACATTTGTGTAAAAGTTTGAGGGTTGTTCTTAATTTTTTAAGGAAGCAAATGCTTGTTTTCTTCCCATTTCACAAGCTGTTTGGTAGGTAACCAGAACTGGTGAAGGCTGAGCCTCAATTTATGTCTAAATGGAAAAAAAACACTTCATATTGGTCTCAAAAAATAGTATACTGAAAAAATCTTAAATTGTATTTATTTTCCATAGTTAAAGGAAAGTCCTTTGGGTTCCCTAATGAACTTATTGATTTTTCCCTTTGGATAAAGTACTAGGGAAAATAATTATGAACTAGCTTATCTATTATGATGGTTGCAGAATTTAATTTTTTTTTTACATAAAATTTGAGTTACATGTTTGTGGTTGGAGAAAGTGGATCAGATTCAGGTATATACAGAGAATCAGTACTGATATGATATAGCCATATATAAATCCTAATTATTCATTTTATTCCTAATATGAGAAGAACTGCTGAGATGAAAAATTAATCACAGTCAGTGTCTAATAATAATTCTTTTTATTTTTAAGTTGCAAATATCAGTTTATTTTTATTGTGTAATACATTTTATATTGCACTTTAGCTTAAAGTAACTCTTAAAGCAGCTCCCAAATAGAACTACACGGCAGCCTTTGCCTCTTTATAAACTTCAAGACTTTTAAGAAAGGGGAAGGGAGGAGTAAAGAGCATTTTTTTAAAATTATACAATTGACTGATCACAAAATAATTTGATAAAAAAAGCTGAGAATGAGCTTTGTTAAAAGAATGCGTTTTTGAGTTTCTGGAAGACTGATTAAGGCAAATCTTTTAGAGACGACAATGGCTGTATCAAAAAATGCTTGCCTAATGAATGCAGAACAGAGGATAATTACATCATAGTAAAATTGGAGGGGGTAATATAGAACATTCAGGGTTGTTTGGGGTAAATTTTCCACTTTTACACACAACTATTCATATTCATTTTATTTTTGAAAATTAAGAATCATTCTATACCTTTTAGATCAGTGGTTCTCAACCTGTGGGTCGGGACCCCATTTGGGGTCGATCGACCATTTCACGGGGGTCGCCAAGCAAGGCTGTCCGCCATTTTTTTGTCCGCCATTTTTTCCCCTTTTCCGGCAGGTGCCTTACCTCCCTTGGGCTGGGCCAGCTGGTGGCCGGCCTGCTCCGTCTCTGCCACTTGCCAGCTACGCCTCGGCCGGCGCAGGGGGCGGAACCACGCATGCGCGGCGCTCCCGGGCAGGGAAAGTCCTCGACTTACGACTGGTTGGGTAGTTCTCGACTTACGACCGGTTTAGTCCTTGACTTACGACCGGTTTAGTCCTCGACGTACGACCGGTTGGGGTCGCGGCATTAAAAAGGTTGAGAACCACTGTTTTAGATAGTTTTCAATCAGATTTTACCTATGAAATTTTGATGATCTCTAAAAAATGTGGTTTGGGGACTAAAATGCAGCAGACTGTCAATGTTTGCACTTGGGAACTTATAGGAATCTGGTTATTACATTAGAGGTGCTTTTAATGATTTCCAGACACTTTTGTTTTGTTTTTTGTTTTGTTTTGTTTTTTTAAAAGAAAAATGGTGTTATAAGGCTATGCTCTTATATGAAGAAGATAGTACTAGCACCAATATTTTATATCTCCTCTGAGCTTTTCATTAACTGATTCAGCATTCACTTCATTTCGTTTGAATGATCACCTAGAATTTATGAACACCCCAGTTTTAATAATTACCTAAGAACCAGAGATCTATTCTGGAGCTTTAATGGTATAAATATTGTGCTCTCACCAGGAAGACTTTAAAACTGGTTCCTTTTCCTTCTTCAATGCTTCAACATTGTATTGATCTTTCTGGTTATTTTTTAGCTGGATCTTGGCTTCCTTTTAAAGGTGAGCTCCTCTTTTTTTAGGCCGCAGATAAGTGGAAAGTGTACAGTATATCCCTCATTGGACAAAAAAGGAAAACCAACCAACCCCCAAACCCTTTTGTCTTTTGTGCCACAAGATGAATACTTGTTCATCCAAATATGATGCTAGGCTAGTTCCGGTTTTGCATTAATTACGTTACGCAATTATTTTAACAGCATCTTAACTCCTGTAGCCTTCAGTTGTATGAAGAATTGTATAGCATTTACATGGGGAAAGTAGAGAACCTCTTAGGATTTTTGTCTCCAGTTTATATATTAATGCCATTATTCTTCAATATACATTTATGTACTGAGAAAATTATCTAGAAGACCTTTGCCATCCATTAAATAGATGATTAAGTCAAAATAAATCCACACAAGATGTAGAGATCACTGATAAGTTTGTTATAAAAATGGCTATTATATATTAAGTATGCAAAAATAAAATATTAAACCTGTAATGTTATTTTTATTCTACTGCACTAAATGCTTCCACCTTCCTTTTTCCCCTTCACCCCATATTTCTCTCTCTATCTTCTCCACTTACCCCACTTTCCTACCATTTTTATTTTTACTTATTTTACATTTTGTTAGGTTTAACAAAATTATTTTTAAAATGTATAGATCACTTTAAATCTATTCCTTCCTACTGACATAGTGGTGGAAAGAAAAATGCTGTGGAAGAATATTTACGTAGATGTGTTTCAGGTGGGATACTTAAAGGAGTCTTTCATATTGAACATGGCTTCCTTTTGAGTAGACATGTTTAGGTTTGGAATGTAAACAGCAAACCATGGTTCAGCTGTCTTTCTCCATCTGTTTCAGCTATTCAAGATAAAAGCAGTGCAACTAGCAGGAAAGCTCATCCCTGCCTTCAATACACCCACAGGAATTCCTTGGGCAATGGTGAATTTGAAAAGGTATGAGTGTGGGCACAGTGAAGAATAATGTAAAACTTCTGATTATTTTTTTCCCTCGTGTTGTTGAAGATTAAGTAAGCAGTTTAAGAATTTATATAGTGTGATGTTTTGGGTTTATTTGACTGCTCCAAAGTGTGCTTACTCTATGTTAACCACACAAACTTAAGGTGTATTACAATTTTATTTTTATTTGTTAAGTGTTATTTTCCTTTCCTTGCTTTTTGTTTCTTGTAAATACATTTTCTTAGCCTTTTCCTATCGTTTTCTGGTTAGTGGTGTAGGTCGCAATTGGGGCTGGGCTTCTGCTGGGAGCAGCATCCTCTCCGAATTCGGCACACTTCACATGGAATTTGTACACCTCAGCTATTTGACTGGCAACCCTGTCTACTATGAAAAGGTAGGTTTTGTGCCTCTTTCTGATATGGTCATACAGTTCAAGACTTGTGAAAATAGAGATAAGATGGAAAAATGCATGTGTATCTGTGTTTATGTGGATGTAAAACACATACTTACATCTTTTCTCAATATTTTTTTACATGTAATTTTAAGACAGGTTATTAGTTCAGCTAACATTCCTAATTCTTTAAAATACAACAAGGAGGCAATTTATAAAAGAAAATCTGATTTTTAAAAAATCAGAGGAATGTTGAGAGGAAACTCTGGTTACCTTTTTTTTCCTCATTAAGGTTATGCATATTCGTAAACTGCTTCAGAAAATGGACCGCCCTAATGGACTTTATCCAAACTACTTGAATCCAAGAACTGGGCGCTGGGGGCAGCGTAAGTATTTCTTTCATATAAATTGCAAATTGAATTTGTTTCTTGTATGAATGTACATATGTATTTGTCAATAAATTCACTTGAAACGTCTTCCAAAACTCAATTTAATGTCATGATTTTAGTTACTGAGTAATCTTTATGGCTGTAGGCTCAAAGGTCAACATTTTCAATGCTCTAATTTCTTACTTCATGGCTATGATAATTATGATTTGAGATGGATACCTGAACTGGACCTCCTGTGGATGCTTGAAATCATAATTTGCTTCCAAAAAAGAGTGAGCAATCTTGTTCAAATTATGGTTTTTAGGATTGTGTAGCTGCAGCAGAAGTTATTCTGCAAAAGCCAAATGATCCTGAAAAATGATTACTGCTGTTTTAATCATTAGAGTTTAGCTAGTTGCCAAAGTGTTGTTATGCCTATCTTTTTCTATTAGACATTGCAACACCAAAGCATGATCTAATTTTATTGTCTTGTTTTAAACCCAGCCTATTCATCCATCACAAGGTCTTCAGATTCAAGCCAATCAATTAGTTTCTCCTGATTAGCACATATTTTGCAGATCTGATTTAATAAATAGGTTAGGTAGTAGTTAGCTGGATCATCTAACTAAGGGGAATAAGGAGAGATAAATTGATATTAAAAGATTTAAGCCGAGTATCCAGAGGAATTTCTTGCCAGTAAGAACTATAGAGTGAAGTAGTATCTCTAGAAAGTGGAGTTCCCACAGGATGTTTTCAAATGGACTTTGAAACGTCACCTGTTGGGGACAGTTTAGAGCAGGGGTGCCAAACTTGCAATGTCATGTGACGTGTCGCGATGTATCGCGACTTTTTTTCCCATTGCCGGCAATGGGGTGAGCGCAGTTTTGGCATGACGCATCCGACCTCTAGGCCGGCAGTTTGACACCCCTGGTTTAGAGGATTTCTGTCCTGAACAAGGAATTGTACTAAATGACCATGAGATCACTTTCATCTCAATTGTATAATTGTATTGTTCTAACAAGACTCACCAAGCAAATCAACATTTTTCATAATTGTTACAGGAAACAATGGTAGACAACAAAATGCTTGTGGAAATACTGTACAATAATGCTGTGGGGATGAAATATATGTGCCTGTTAGACCAGATTTTATATGCACATGCACACACATTTTCTTGTAATCCTATGACATACATTTTAAGGATTTGAGATCAAAAATACGCTCTTTGAAAAATAAATACCATTGTCCTATATTTCGCTAATTGAGGAAAACAGTATTTCAAACATTATTCAATTTTCAGTAAACTTATTTTCCATTATTTGATGCTCTCTAAATTGTTTTAATGAAATGTTTTATTTCATTTTTGTTGCACCATTCAGATACCACTGGAGCACATCTTTTTACTAATGTAGTGTTGTAACAACTTTACAATTTTCAACTGACAACCAGCATGAGGTAGTGATTAAAGTATTGGAATACAGCTAGGGAAAACTTACATTCAAGTCCATGGAAACTTCCTGAGTGATTTTGGGCCTGTTGCTCTAGCTCAGAGAGTGCTTGGTTAGCTCCAAGTAAAGCACCTTTAACTCAGATCAACTATTGGATGATTTGACTTAAGATTTTGCTCAGAATGGTGGCTTATAAAAAGTTATTCTCTATGTAAGTTGAATTTTATCCAGTTACAGAGTCCTGACTATGTAGTTTCTGATCAAATTATTGAAAACCTGAGCATTACTATAACACTTATGAAAATAGATTCCAGGTAAATCTATCTATTACTAAAACCCTTGTGCCTATAGCTTTAACTGGACAAAATATGCATCGTTGGGTAAAACATTTTGAACCAAAGTACCTCAAATGGGCTAACTTACAGAATGCATCCAAAATCTAAGGCCCATGATTCCTATGGAATTGAAATTTGGCAAATTTTGTAAAAACATTTTATGACAAAAAATACCATAAAGCATTTTTATGACAAAATACAAGGCATTTATTGTGGTCAATTCCTTATGTTTGACTGTGCTATATAGTTCAACATGGGCTATTTCAAAGCAGATATGGCTCCCTGAATTTTTAAGAACTTTTCAAGTATATTAGAAGCTCTGCAATTGTTGGAGACATTAAGGTAAGAAAATATCTCTGAAATGATAGCCCAGATATCACAGTTTGTCTAGCTATAACATAAGGAGAGCTTCATTTCTTATATTGCTAGATGAAGTGTGAAAATATTTCTGAAACATTAGCTTTTTTAATCCAGGCTTGTGGATTTTGTAGTTGCAAATCTCAGTAATCTTTCATACTCACAGTTTTATATTTTATATGCTCCCTGTCTCTTTCTCTTGCAGATCACACATCCATGGGTGGTTTGGGAGATAGTTTTTATGAATACTTGTTGAAAGCTTGGTTGATGTCAGATAAGATGGACACAGAAGCAAGGAAAATGTATGATGATGCTATTGAGGTGATTATAGTGCATTGATTCCCCCTTTCCCCAAGCAATTACCAGTTGTATTTTTTCAAGAATCAGAATGAAAACAAAAATGCATCCTTAACTTAGCTCATCGGGTTCTCTTACTTGAAAATGTTGTTTGGGGATTGAATACATCATGAGCAGAAGAACTAAATATAAATAAAGACTCGACCCAACCACAATTGAACCCAAATTTCTGTTGTAAACTGAGACAGTTGTTAAGTGACTTTTGCCCCTTTTTACGGCCTTTCTTCGCTCACTGCCACTTGTGCTAGCCACGCCCACCCTCTGGCTTATTTTTGGGGTAGGGCTTATATTAGGCCCACCCAAAAAAATCAACACAGTATGAGTCAGCTGCCAAACATCTGAATTTTGATCACATGACCATGGGTATGCTGCAACTTTTTCAGTGCCACTGTAACTTCAAATAGTCACTAAATGAACAGTTGTAAGTTGAGGACTGCCTGAAGTCTAAACCAGTGGTCCCCAACCTTTCCAGCATGGTGGCCCGGCGCTGGGGGGAGGGAGGCATATAAGCAGCAAGTGTATGCATGCGTACACAGCTCCATTTGTGTGAGTAGCACATGCACACTCCCTCCACGTGTGCGAATGGAGCTTTGTGCATGAGTGAAGGATGCTTGCACTTGTGTACAAAACTCCACTCATGCGAGCGGAGAGCACTTGAGCAGAGGGCACTTGTGCTCCAGTGCAAAGCACTACTTGCATGAATGGAGAGCACTTGTACACGAAGCTCCATTTATGTGAATGGAACTTTGCACGCAAGCGCCCTCCACTCATGCACGCAAGCGCCCTCCACTTCACGTGCATGCACCTGCCCATTTATCAATAAATTGATGCCATGAGTCATTAAAATCACTATTGGTTGACTATATTAATCTTCTCTGCAAATAACTGAATATTGGTAGTCCTCGACTTACAACAGTTCATTTAGTGACTGTTCAAAGTTACAACGGCATTGAAAAAGTGACTTATGACCATTTTTCCCACTTATGAATGTTGCAGCATCCTCACGGTCACGTGATCAAAATTCAGACACTTGGCAACTGACTCAGATTTATGACGGTTACAGTGTCCCAGGTTCATTTGTGACCACCTGACAAGCAATAACAATTGGGAAACCAGATTCATTTAACAGCTGTGTTACTAACTTAACTCCATTTTCTTTGTCCAGAAGCCAATTCCCATATAATTGATGAAAACATCTAAAAATATTAAACCTTAAATTTGAGTTGACACATATTTTGCTTCTTACTGAGATGAAACAATATACTTAATTAAAACATTAATTTTACTGCATCTCCAACAACATATATGCGATAAGGTCATTTCTAAAATATTTCCTGTTGAAATAAGATCATTTCTAAAATATTATTTCTTGTTGAAAAAGATGTCATCTAAAATATTTGTTGTTGTTCAGTCGCAAAGTTGTGTCTGACTCTTCGCAACTTCATGTCAGGCTCCCCTGTCCTCCACTCTCTCCGAGAGTTTGCCCAAATTCATGTTCAATTCTAAAATATAGGATTCTTATTTATTTGTTAAATAAAACGTGCAAAGAAAATAAGGGGAAAAAAGTATATACAGTTTACTTTTATACACACACACATTTAAAGGGTTTTGAAAAAGTTAGAAAATTAGAAAAACAAAAATTGTAAACAGACATCCTGGTAACCCCTCTTTCCCCCCTCCAGCCAGCCACTAATTGCAACTTGGATATTTTTATAGTTTACTTTAGACATTATTACTCATTTCTGTTTGGATCGTTTTAATTATTTTTGTGACTTCTTCAAGTTTTTAACTTTTCTTGATACATGGGTTTTCTTCAAAACCCATAATCTAAGTGTCTTAGCTTGCCTTGCTATTCAAGCATTCCTGATTGAATTTGGTTAGATTTCAGCTGTGAATTTATATCAGTACTTTTTCCATTGCTGCATATGCTTCAATTTTAGCCTTCCAAAGTCGTATAGACAGCAAGGTTTCTCTTTTTCAATGTTGTGCTACATTGATTCTTGCTACTGTCACTATGAATATTAATAAATCATGATGCAAAAATTTCTTTAGATTTACATCTAATGAGAATATTTGTGATTTTAACTCATGATTTATTTTCTGAATTTTTGGCATATTTTGGTAGTTTGGTATAGTTCTCTCCAGTACTTTTTGATTATTTTTTTATGTAAAAACCACATATGATAAAACATTCCTTGTTTGTTGTGGCATTCCCAATGTTAATTATTATATGATATATTCATTTTGGCAACTGTTAATTAGTTAAAAAGCATCTGTAGAACATTTTGTACCAATTTTTACTTTTTATTTTTCCAGTTATGTGCAAGTACATTAACTGTGGTAGATTTCTTCTTTCATTAAAAAATTATTGTGTCTTTAGTTTGTTTTTTGTGTCCAGATGTATTATATTGGCATATGTAACCAGATCTTTCTTACTGTAGCTATCTTTGAAATAGAAAGCATTTGATTTTGATGACGTTTGGGGTGAAATTGTTAGGCTTTTCGGGAATTCTACATTTTTAACAAACTTTATCTTATAACTTCAGATTCTTGTCTTCTTTTGTTGCCTTATACCACAAGTATCTGTGAAGTCCCTTCTTTGGATAAACTTGCTTCTTCTGTAGTAGTTATTGTGTTATTGGAAATATTGCCCCATTCTGCTGTCTGTGATGGATAGCTTGCTCATAATATAATTTGCGATCGGAAAATGCTAATTCACGTTTCTTTTATGACTTGGATAATTTTGAATTTTACTGTTGGTTTTTTAATAATTAATACAAATGTATTAATTGTTCTTTGCCAATCCTACATTTTTTTTAAATCTGAGGTTTGAATTGCTGCCATTTTAATAAGTGTACCTTAAGTAATATATTCATTTTTAATTGATAACAGGAAAGTTTAAAACTTTTTCACCTGTTAACATTGTGTTTTATTTCTAGTGATAGCTTACTGTATTTCCTTTGAAATATACCCATATTTATATCCTCTTGAGAGGATGGTTGCATCCTCTCAAGAAAGGTTTAATTATTTAGCTGACTTTTTTGTTATCTCATAGCCAGTATCTTTTTTTTTTCTTCACAAAATTTTCTTTCTCAGAAATTAAGTGCCTTGCTATTCCTTTTCACTGATTTTGTATCTGGAAGAGTAATCAAAATCTTTGATAACTTTCATCAACTGTTGTGTGGAGTTTTGTGGTTGCATGATTATTAGTAATACATCGACTGCATGATATTTCACATTTTATTTCTGTTAAATTTTATACCAATTATCTATTTATCAGATTTTCTTGGCTGATTTTCTTGGCCAAGACTTTCTGACCAATTACATATACTGTAGTACAGGGGAGAGTAGACACCTTTGCCTTGTGTTTTTGCTAATTGAAAAGTTTACAAAGAGCAGTCCATTCACTGTAATATTTGCTGTTTGCCTTTTATATGTACTCTCCATCCAAATTTTGAATTCTTCTCTGGAATTCATTTTGTTTAAGACATTTTATTTAAAAAAATCCATTTCAAATTATCAAAGACTTTTTCCACATTAAAAATATTACTGATATTTTTTCTTAATTTTGATAAATTATAGTACTTTTATAATATATCTGCTACTACCTTTTTCTCATTTTGAAATGAAATCTATATGAATAATTTATCAAATGTACTTCCTCATATGTTCAGCTAGTGGAGTAGTTAACTGAATTTGCAGTAGTAAAGAAATTGGTCTATATTACGGCACTGAGATTTCTTTTAATTATTCCCAAGTTTTGGGAATTGTTTTTGTTATTTGAATTTCATTCATTGCTTTTAGCAGTGGTTCTGCTAGTTTTTTTTAGCTTTTTATCATACAGAGCTTTATTCATTTTAATTTTTTATTGTTTTTTCATATCTTGAATTGTTAGTAATTTGCTTAAAAATTCTCATTTTTAAGTAAAGTTTTAAGATCTGAATTTTCAGTATATATACTTCTAAATTACTTTTGTTCTTAAAATTTGTAAGTTCTTCTGTTATTTCTGACCTTATATCTAATAGTTTATTATGTTTGTTGCTGTTATCACCCTTTTTTTCTTTCTCTTTCCTAATTTGATTTACTTCTCTAGTGTACTTTCATTTTCAAAATAATTTTGTTTGGTACACTTTGTCTTCTTTTGGAGTTCTTCTGTTTCCAAAAAATCTAAATGTTGTTTCAATTTATTTAATACTTCCAATGTTTATTGATCTGGTTTGGTTTTATGAAACTGTTCAAATTTCTTTCTTTTCTTTTTTAATTGTGATTTTAATCTACTATTTTTGTTTCTGGTATGCCGCAAGCCTTATTAAGATTCTTATTATATAAACTTTAGTTGACTCCCATATAGTTGTTTCTATCATCCTTACAATCGTATTTATTTTTTTCTTTTTTGTAATATACTTTTTAAAAGTAACAACATTATTTATCCTCTAACAAGTAATTTTTCTTCTTGAAAGCAAGATATTAAAATCAGAGCATGTTTGTGCATATCACTGAACAAATTTGTTTTTTTTTATCGATAGAGGGTGTGAGAGCTTTAGCTGATATACCTCCTTGATCATTGTTTTTTCTACTTATCATTTTAACTTTTAGTCAAAAACCTTTTTGCAGTATCTTGAACTACAATATAATGTGATTATTTCTTCCCATAGTCTCACTACATTTACCTGTTCAACCAGCTCGCTCTTCTCTGTTAATATCAGCTCTAGAGAGCCATTCTTTTGGGGGGTTTTCTTTCACCTTCTGCATTACGAAACAGGCAGGCAGTAAGATCACTGAGGAATGTTTGGGACCTTACTATCTTGGCTGTCCATCCAACAGATGTCCAGGCAATGGAAGATTTCCATCATTACTACTGTAGCTCTTATCCCTGAAAATTTTCTATATTTCTGCCTGGCCTCACAGTCTATAATTTACTCCCACAATAAAAGCATTATTGCTTTCCCTTCTTTGTAGTTTTACCTGAACATTCTTACCTGGACTCATGCTAAAATTCCTAGAACCCAGTGCGTGTGTGCATATCCATCACATGTAATGCGAGAGAATGCAGAGAATAACTGTAGGCAGTCTCTCTTTTGCCTGATCCTTTCCCACAGCTATTGTGATTTCATTGCTTTTGATGTGTAGAAGACCAAACTTTCTTGAAATCTCTTCCTCTCCAGTCTCTCTGCTCTAGGTTTGATGGGGGGAGGCTCAGGCAAAGAAAAGATTGCCTATAGAAATCGCTTGCTCTCTGACTTTCTTTTGCCTTCTGAGAAACTTTTTAGTTCTATTTACTGTCCTCATACATGAATCCATTCTGAGAATTCCATATCTTCCATAATTAAGAACATTGGGTTTGTACCTCCTTTATCTTCCAAGAAGGCAGTTGGTCTTCATTTGCACCCATATCCCTGTAATCTTTAGGGAGAAAACGAAGATATGACAGTTCCCCATCCAAATTAAAAGAACTATTTAGATGATTACCATGTTGCTGAGATTAACGTGTTAGAAGAAAATCTGCTCTGTTCCATGGCCAGGTAAATGAGCACAGGATGCCTGCTTGAAGTGGAGGTAGAGTTTATTTGATAGCAAAGTAAATGCACAATTCAGCTGATGAAGGTGGCCAAAAGATCAGAACACAGACAGTAGTAGTATTTATAGTAATAATGACTTTGATTGTGCATTAGATGTGCAAATTGAGGTGTTCGTGCTCTAGAGAGGAATGTTTTTCGCCTATGTGTACATTTTAGATGTATAAATCTTTTCTTAAGTGTGGAATTTTATCAGGGGTTTGGCATTGGAGTTTTGGATGAGGAGTCTAGTGCCTGAGGAGTAATGTTGTGACAAAAGATTTCTCTTACCTTGAGGGGATTTTGTTTCATGAGTGTTTTGCCTATGATTTTCTGAAGGGACACGCTTAATCAATTGCAGCCCAAGTGTCAGTACTGCTGGAAAAGTTTAAGTGGCTGCTTTGTATCTTTATTTTGAGGTTGCTGGTGGATCAGGAATGGTTGAGATTGATGTCTGGTTTGGCTAGCAGAGATGTCATGGAGGTTCTTACTTCCAACAAACAGTAAAAAAAACCCACAAAATTGATGTCTACCCTTGACCTTTTCAGTTAATGAAGTCAAGGGGAGGTACTTTTTGAGTTTGTTTCTTTGTGTAAATCACAAAACTATTGTTTGCTTTCCCTTCTCACTTGCTCAGGGAACTAATATAAAAAAGTGTTATTTTATGGAATGTTTGGTCATAGCCAAGGAAGAAAAGACAGTTTGATAGTAATTTGTGCAGTTATTAACAATGTCTTACTAAATTGTTGCAAAAACACATGCCTTTGCAGAAATTTGAGGAAAAAATGGCAACAACTTCAGATTTCTCTTTGGCCATACTATAATGCTATAGCATAATGCTATAGCATTATAGCGCTATAAAGTGCTATAATGCAACTGAGGTTCTAACTTCAAGCTCCACAACTGCTCAACAATTCATTTTAATTGCATAAGAATCCAAAAGTCTGTCTTTAGTAAAACAAATATTCAGAGAAGTAGGAAAATTAGGCCAAGGTATGAACTGCCCAATCTAAGTGAATTATTCAGTCTGTTGCCATGTCTTAGTTATTAACTGACGTGAAGAAAAGTTGTTTCCAAAATTGTTCCAATTGACCTTAAACACACAGGACCCACACACATGCTTCAAAAAATGTCATTAATAGAAGAAGTGTAGTGAGGAATGGAGGAATGAGAGTAACACTTCCTAAGTAGTGGTCATCCATGTGGAAAGTATAAAAGGAGCTCAGTGCTTAACTCTGCTGTGAAAGTGTATTACAGTTTTTTTTTCTTTCCCCACTTCTCTTTCAATGGAGAGAGGGGAAATAGAGTAACTATATAGTTCTTGCCCTGTTCTGTAACTTTATGAGATCTGGTGTCTTGGAGGAGGAATATTAAGAGAGAATGAAAAGATGTTTTGACCTGTCATGGTAATTAAACTTGTGTATTTCCACTGCAGGCCATAGAGAAGCATCTTGTCAGAAAGTCTAGTGGAGGCCTAACTTTTATTGGGGAATGGAAAAATGGGCACCTTGAGAGAAAGATGGGCCATCTCACATGCTTTGCTGGGGGAATGTTTGCCCTTGGAGCTGATGGTTCCCGAGATGAGAAGGCTGGACATTACCTACAACTTGGAGCAGAAATTGCACATACATGCCATGAATCCTATGACAGGACAAGTAAGTATCCTTGCCTATCTTAGGTTTTGAATGTGTTTTCTTGAGACTTGCCTTTGCAGTTGCAATAAGGTACAATTGAAGCAGAATTCTTTGAAGAGGAGGTTTCAGCTCCTCAATTAGGTATTTTCGTTTAAAAAAGGAACATGCTGCTGGATGTATTGAATATACTGTCATCTCCCACAACCCCTCATAAAACATGCACCATTTCTCTTTTCAACTAACTGTGAGAAAGCTAACAGATGCTTTGAGAATAGCCAGCAATAATTTCCTGTAATAGGAGAAGCCAGAATAGTAGGAAATTTCTTCCTGTTAGTTTCAAATCATTTCCTTGGGTCATACTGCCTCTTCTTGCATTTACTGAACTCCTCTTCTGCCTGTTTCCCACAGCTTCACAAAAGCAGAGTGTAAATCTTAGTAATCTATATGCTTACTGCAATAGTCTAACATACAGGCTTTGCAATGAAATAACATTTTACACAACTTAGTAGCAAACTCATACTCTGTGGCCAAGCAATTTCTTTAAACACTAGAGACACCATCACCCCCCTTTTTTGGGGGGGGGGTCTTTTGCAAGATAGATTTTCTGAAGGTAAGATAAAATAAGATAAATTTGCTGACAATATTTTTATTTGCATTGGGATACATACAATATTTTTCAAAAAATAGTTTGATATACATTTAACGAATTTATTTGCACAAAAATCTTACATAAATATAGGGAGATGAACTTTAATTATCCATGAAAGACTTAATAGAACTTTTCTGCTCCATCTGAAAATAGAATGAATTTGTAAATTTAGGTAACAGTAAAAAAGTTGTAAGTTGTGTCTTACATCTTGTATCAAAAATGCATGACAGAGTTACATTATTATTTCGTGTAGGTTTTCTGTTTCCTATAGAAATTATTTAGGTAGGCAGAAAAACCTATAGTTCAAAAGGAATGGGAAAATTTTGTTTGAAGAAAGTTCTGGGTTCAAATCCATACTGGGTCATGTTAAAGAACACACAGGGCAAGTTGCATGGAGCAAAGGCAGAGTTTATTTTGACAGTATAATATGCTGTACGGTAATCAAAAGGTAAGCTACGAAATCAGAATGCTGAGAGTAGTGATATTTATACTAAGAGTGGGCTTTGTTCGTAAGGTGTGTAGTTGTATTAATTGAGGTGGTTTTGCCTGTGGAATGATTGGGGAGGAGGGATGACCAAGGTGGCACATGGGTATTTTCTTCCAACAGGTTCACTGTTACTATCTTGTCTGTGTCAGTAACTGTCAATAAAAAAAAACAGCCCCCCCCCTCCAGGATGTGCTGTTAAATCCACAACCTCACCAGGAGCAAAAGCTTGAGTTTAGGATCAGATAGTAAACATGGCCCCAACAGTATGACAGTAAGGATCTAGTTAGCTCCCTGCCCCTTGCCCTCATTCCCACCCACGCCCAGCTCTTTCAAAGATGAAAAGATCATTGCTAGCTTTGATACTGTGACACCTCTTTGTGAGAGTTGAATCATGATGATTGCCAGGAAAATATGCTACTAAAGAGAGCCAGTGGAACCTGTATTTCACTTCCCAAAATTTCAAATAGGAGAAGTTTCAGTATCTCCTTTAGCAGTTAAATCCTGTGCAGAGAAGGTGAGAAAAGTGAGGTTGACCTCTCCAACCCTGACAACTAAGGTAAGATTTTGCTTTTTTAAGTAGGAGAGAAGAAGGGGATAGTTAGGGTTCTACTCAGTGGGCCCAAATTTCAAAGATTGAAAGGAGCCATATAGTGAAACTGATATATTTTGGGAATAAGCAATGTGTTCCTCACTCCTCCATAGAAGTTCTGTAGACATAATCACTTTTTATACACTGCCATTTTTTTTAAGGTTGGGGCCACAAAACAGGCAATATATGAATATAAAACAGCAGCAAGTTCTCTATTCACTTGTTGTTCCTTAAGATATGAATCTTAGAGTAAGTTAAATACTTCTTAAATATTCTACAACCATGCAGACACTCAAAATTCTGAAATGAATTTCGATTTTTATCAAGTTTTTACAGACCTGACCAGATTCATAAGAACCATCACAACTATGTCTGGGATCATTAAAAACATATGTTAATGTTTCTTTTAGAGTGGCATTGTTGAACTTAGAAGTTATATAATAGAATGCTGGATTAATTTTCTTCATTTTCTTTTGCAGCTTTAAAACTCGGGCCTGAAGCTTTCAAATTTGATGGAGGTGTAGAAGCAGTAGCAGTGCGGCAAAATGAAAAATACTACATATTAAGACCGGAGGTGATTGAGACATACTGGTATATGTGGCGATTCACACATGATCCTAAGTACAGACAGTGGGGCTGGGAGGCAGCACAGGTAATTATTAACTAGCCTTCTAAAAAAAAAAACCTCAGAGAGTTTACCTGCCAACCTCCATATTGTTCATAGTAAGACATTTAAACCAGGATGTTCATTGTTTTTTTCCTAGATTGTTCCTTCTTTGCTTGTGGAGACCTAAGGAAAAATGGCTTAATAAATTCTGATGACTGAGAATACGAGGAAAAGACTTCTAATTTCCAGTTTCTAATATTGCCTACAGATTGTTTTTATCTTATATTTAGATTTTAAAAAAGGATTTAAAGTTTGCCTTACAATAATGCATTCAGTTGTAAAATGAGCATTGAAATGAAAATCTAATTAATAATTATATATTTTTTCATGGAGGCTTGTTCAGGATATAGCTTGGCAGCTGCACCACAAGAAAAGAGTCTCCTTCAAGGCTGCTCCAAGAAGGACAGCCAGGATCAAATTTCCCTCACAATAAGAAGTAGTGTGCCAGTAGAGGCTGCTTTGTAGAAAAAGGGTTTGCGTGTATTTTGGAACTTCCTAAAAAGGAATATTGAGATGACCTGAGTGCATTCTAATAGACCATGGTGGTTGGGACATTCTGAGAGTTGAAATCCACATGTCTTCAAGTTGCCGTGATTGAAAAACACTGTAACAGAGGGACTTTGAACCTCTCCTTATTATTGAAGAAACATCTCTGTTTATAAAAGGGCTGTTTTGAATACCAGTTAATCTTCAATCTAATAACTTTGGAAAGGAAATGCTTCAAGACATTTTGAAAAATATGAAATAATCAAGTTAGGGAAAGAAGTGTGCAGGGCACAACACCTGTTTTGTTTTTTTTTTTTTATTCACTTATAACATAAAATAGGAAAATACAAAAGCAAATAGTAAGGAACCAAGGGGAAGGGGAAAAAGAGAAGTGTGGAAAAGGGGGGAGAAAAAAAAGGCATTGACTTCCAACTCCCTCTGTTACAGTAGAATAAGGCATTAACATCAAATCTCAACTTTTTACGTTTCTATAATAGTATGAACTAGCCATTTCTATATCAACAAATCAGTCTAATCAGTAAAACCCAAAATCATTTTTTCCACCTCAAGCACAAAATCCAGAAGTCAGTTTAGCCATCTCTGTCATTCTATCAGCTTTTGTAGCCATTTGTCCATGGTGGGAATCGAAACACCTGGATTCTTATCCAATTCCAACCTCTTTTACAACAGCTCTGCTCTGGACCACACCAGAGGGAAAAGAAAAAAGAGGGAGGAGACTGGGAATGGAACAGTAGTCAACATTCCAGGGAATTATTTATCTTCCATGGGCATGCATTGGGGGATTTTTTTTCTCTATAGCTCGTAGCTGGATTTGGCCATTTTCAGATTTTTATAATCTTCATGCTTCTCCCTACATACCATATTTAATCTCAGTTCTGTTCTGTTATTGGACAAATTGTCAAAACTATTTTATTTAATTTCTTTCTAGAGTTATTAGTTGTCTAATATAAGGAATCAAACATACAAATATGGGAAAATAGAAATATTAATTTTGCTGATCTCATTTTATAAAGGAATAGTTATCTATTTCATCTTTCCAGCTATGGGTCATTCTGTTTCCATTTATTCTTAAGCTATACTGCTCTTAATATTTTTTCTCATATCTTACTTATATTCTTGCTGAGCAAGAACAAGGGAGAAGGACAGCTGATGCAACAAGTATCTCCATTCCGGAAAAAAGCCATTTGTTTTTGTTATTGTTTTTGAATGCTTTTTGTAGAGAAATTACAAGACTACTTTATAGTTATTTTTCACACAATTAATTGCAGAAATTTAAGGCACAGTTGTACATACTTTAAGTGATTTATTTCTATGTAGTCAGAGATTGTTAATTTTGCCTTTATTGTTGTCATTAACACAATACATACAGTCATGCTATTAAGTTGAAATTAAAATTTAAGATTAGGTAGAGAATTACTACTTATGTGTTTCTCAGCTTTCCTGAGGCACCATAAAGTAGGAATTTTGATATTGGCGAAGTCCCCGAAGTCAAGTTGGTTTGCATGTAACCTATACATCAACTTTGCAGTTTGCCCTAACTAGTCAGAGAAATTCATTGCTAAATGTTATTGGCAGTTTTGCTGTTGGCTCGTGAGGTTTGCTATATAATGAATCTCCTTTATTTTTATCTCAAATAAAAGTAGACAGAGCACTATCATTCCCCTTTTAGACATACTTCACGTAACAAATCTTTCAACAGTACTGTGGAAGCAATCAAATGCAAACATAATTGAAATGCTGATAAAATAATTCTAAGAGCAAGATGTTTTTTCATCTCTTAGAATAGACACTTAATGCATTGTTTCCATATTTATTGCTTAAAAATACAAAAACAGCCCTGTACAAAATTTGATACTTGTGTTCCAGGGTGCTATTGCTTTAGAGACACAGGTAGTCCTCAACTTATGAATTTTGGTTGCTTAAGCGATACAATAGTTAAACAAGTCATCATGTGACTGAACCCAATTTTATGATCATTTTTACCACCAGTGCTTTTTTTGTAAGAAAAAAGGTGCCAGAACTCACATCTTGTTAATCTTTTATTAAAAATATTATATATTCAGTTCTTAGCAGGACCAGTGGTTGTGAAGTAATTAGTAATGTTTTTCATTTTTAAATTTGGGGTCTCACTTTTATACTAAAAATTAAAAAAAGATTTTCAATTCAATGATTTTTTAAAATAAATTATTTACCTTTTGCACGTAATCAATCACTATACACACACCTACACATGTCAGTTGTGTAATGAAACATAACGGTCGCTGCCCACAGTAAACAGTCAGTGTGCGGCCACACAACCAATCACAAGCCGAGCAGTGCCACAAGCCGAGCAGCACCATCACAACGAGTGCGGACAAAGTATGCATGCATCGGACTAGACACACAAGCGCCCGCATGCACCATTTTAATGATTTTGCTGCCGACCTGCTACGCTCAACAGGGCAATTCAAGTCCACATGGACCAAACATAAAATTTTCAAAAGTTACTTTTAAAACTTGAAAACTCTGTTCCGGTGCATTCTATGACAAAAAAAGCACTGTTCACCACCAACATTAAGTGAATTGCATGGTTGTTGAGTGAATCACAAGATTGTTAAGCAAATTTGGCTTTCCCAATTGACTTAACTTTTAGCTGGGATCCCATTTCAACCATTGTAAATGCAAGCTGGTTGTGGGGGTGGGGGTGCAATGGCCATAACTTCAAGGATAGGTTGTAAGTCACCCTTTCCAAGGCCATTGTAACTTTGAACTATCATTAAACAGTCAAGGAATACCTATAGACATTTTGGCAATAATACTACATCCAATTTTGAATTGCTGGCTAATAAAGCATTCGTTCTGTTTGTTCTACTTAAGGCCATTGATAAGTACTGCCGAGTGAGTGGTGGATTTTCTGGGGTCAAGGATGTCTATTCCTCAGCTCCTACATATGATGATGTACAACAAAGCTTCTTTCTTGCTGAAACTCTAAAGTAAGTAGATTTTTCTCTTTGATATTTGTTTCAGCAACCTTGGAAATTGAGGTTCTTAGGAGAAATATCCAGCACTTATATATTAATATAAATATTATGGATATAGATTTTTATATTTATAAAATACATAATAATCATATACCTACTAGGAAAATGGCTGCATTAAACTGTTGGATATTACCACCCTTGGAGATATTATCCCACCAGGCTGCCAATGCACATAACTACAATTTTCTTTTTCTTTTTTACTTTTTCTCCCTCCCAAATAAAAGGAATATAATATATTCTGCAACACTTACACAAGGATGCCCTTTATCCTGTGTAATTTCTATGAGAATGCCATCAGCTCTTTTAGGGTGAGAATGAGATGGTATCAAATGTATTGGCTCTATCTTACAATATCACACATTGAAATTGCCTGGATGAATATAGTGAAAACACAGATATTGCAATTGTGCCAGAAGGGGGTGAAGTTGAAATTATACGTGTGCAGAATTTAGGAATTCTTGACATGTTATTTGGATTTTAGTATGTTGCAGAATGGGAGAATTGAAGAAAAAGCTTGACTCCACCAACAGAGAGTTTACGAAATATGACACAAGAATGGGATCTCACTGACAGATTGTAGATGTTCATTATAACTGAAGATCCTTTTTGGTAGTGTGGATCATGATTGTTTAGAACTTAGTGTACTATTACAAATGCTTTAAATCTTCATCAGTAGGAATTAGTGCAAAATTTAGAACATTTACAATACATGGGTGGTAATGCATCTCATTCAAAGGGGAAATGAATGTCTGTGTTTTAATTACGAGGGCAATTCGGAAATAAACCTCTGTTTGGTTATCAATAACAGACACTTGCAGATACAGAACTTTTATTATACACATTAGAAAACCAAGTCTGGTTTGTGTCACAGTGGAACGGGACACAGGAAAGCAGGGCTCTGCCTTCCACGTCCAATTTCGCCCTGCTGGCGGCCCTAAAAAGGGCCTAAAATCGCCCCAAAGAGGCAATTAAGAGGAGGGGTGCCGGAGAGATGGCAGTTTTTCCGTTCGATCCAAGGAAAGCCCTCCAAACTGGCAGGGGAAAGACTGGCTACATACCTGTGGCCGGCCATTAGTTACTGACAACCGATGAAGAAAAAAGCACTGCTTAATACATCGTAAACAGCATATTTGGAATTGAATTTCCTGGGAAAGGCTCCCAAGAAGCTAAAAACCTCTGAATGTAAACAGAAGTGGCATTTTAATTTTATGGGGGACAGAAACATACAATATTGAAGTGGAAGCTACAGTTTCAACAAATTTGAGAACTGAGAAAGCTCCCAGATAACGACTACAAAGTATGAACAAATAATCCAGAAATCGGAAGACAAAACAGAGGAAATGGATTTAGAGATGGAAGAGAGAAAAGAAGGCAAATATAAACGACTATATACAACAAAATACTGCAAGACTTAGCTATAACAACGAAATTGCGAAAGACCTTTTACACCCTAAGTGTGCAAAATATATCTGACGGGAAGGAAAAAGATTTTTAAAAAGAGAATATTGAGCTGTTAAGGGAAATGTCACAACTTGGGAGACAGGAAATGAAAAGAGAAATGGAGGGAGAAAGGAACTGGGAGTTGTTTAAAGAATATAAATGAGCGGAATCCCCCCCCCCCAAATAAAATACCCTCCCTAAATTGCCAAGCAATTTTTACAAAAATAGAAAGAAACTTCCTGGGCAATCTAATTTCCCTGGCTTGGAAAGCGACTTGGCAAAGAAAGAAAGTGAGAGTTAGATTTAAAAAACAGAAGATTTGACCTTTTAGAGGGAGCATTATATGTTTAAATACTTCTTTGAATAAGATTAAAAGAACGGAAGACTTTTAGATATAATTAGACTGTTATAATGAAATATATGATTTAGAATTAAGATAGCAGTTTTTTTTCTTTTTTGATACGGGAAATATGAAGATAAGAGGAGGATTGATTTGAATAAAACTTTCAGCTATATAAATGTAATTAATATTGAGAAAATCATAATTGATAAAGATATTTCAAATACTGATGGGAAATTAAAGTTTAACAAGAGCATGAAAAACAGGATATTGATTAATGAATTGATATTATTAATTTATGAATTGATATTATTATTTGTATGATATTAGTAAAATACAATAAAGATGCTTATATCTAACTGTGTATACATTAACAGTACCAAAAATTGTAATGGTATAATGAAGGGAAAATGGAAAAAAATATGGAGAAGAAAGGAGGACCAGGGAAAAAATACTGGATTGTGTAGTATTGAACAGATTTATATTGAAGAAGTTAATGTTAAATATTTGAACCCAGACAACATGTTGTTTACTAAGCACTAAAGACTATAATTTTAAAAAAATAATAAAACTTTTACAAAAAAAAAAAGAAAACCACAACATTACATTACTTTTTGACATAATCGTCATTCAAATTGAGGTACTTACAAGGTTTGAAATTCCTTAGTAGTAGTTGCTCGGCGCCAAATCTGGGCTATGGGGCAAGGTGCTCAAAAACATCCCAATGGAACTGCTTCAAAAGTTCTTGAGTGTGTCTAGTGGTGCATGGCCGAGCATTATCGTGAACCAACACCACACTGGAAGTGGTGCCATAGAAAATCCCGCCAAATGTGAAGATGCCAAAGGAGTACGGTTAGTGAAGTTCATGGAGCGTTGGTTCGACCATCAATTCAGAAGTCTATTGTGAAACATTACGAAAACTCAGATGAGCCATCCATAACACACACTAGATCTAATTTTTGTCTCTGGCCAGTGGCAGAATGATCTGGAAATGGGGGAGGTAGTTGTAGAGCCCCTGTCATGGTCAGATCATTCACTCCTTAGGATGGACTTCCGGACCGCTCCCCCCCGCCGCAGGGAGACGGAACCGCGTAGATGGTTCCGTCCCAGGCGCCTGATGGACCCTGAGAGGTTCCTGNGGGTGACTCTAGACATCTTACAAAACATAAAAAGATAAATAGAAAAGCAATTAAAATTTAAAACTGTACACATTAAAAGTTTAAAATTATACAAAGAAACCAAAACCAAGGATACGGATGGCACATACAGGATGAGGGATGAATTGTGCACGTGTGTGCTCGGGGGAGGGGGTATGTTGGGTGGATCCGGGCGCCTATCAGGGCAGTCTCCGATGGATATGTTCCTGCCTAGAAGTAAACAAATTAAGCAAGCAGAATTTGATAAATGCATTCGGGAAGTTGTATAGTTCCCCCTGCTTCCATTTTAGAAAAGGCATTTTGCCATCTTATCAATACAGTAGTATCATTATTGTCAAAAGAGAGATAATTAATCTCCAATTCAGAGATTAATTATCTCTCTTTTGACAATAATGATACTACTGTATTGATAAGATGGCAAAATGCCTTTTCTAAAATGTAGTCAGCTACTAAATTCCTTAAAAACTTAAAACAAGGATTCCAGGTCTTCTTTTTGGTATCTTCATTTTATATTTTCCCTCCGGATATTTGCATAGGATTGTCAGATCCCATGCTTGGTGTCTTTCCTATATAAAAATCTGAACATATGCTAATTCCTCTTCTGTTCCCCTAGAACCTATATTTTTGGCCACCCAAGAATCATAATTTGTTGCTTGATAATCCTGTTCCTTCCCTTTCTTTTCTGTCTCTTTCTCCCTCCCCATTCCCCCTCTCCAATCTGCACTCAATTTCAATCCCTTCCTGCCAGCCTCTTAGCTTATTTTATCTTCCCCTGTATTGAATGAAACCTCTTAATCTGTTCTTCTCTGGCTATTTCCCAACTGCCAGATTCATTTGTTTGTTTAGTCATGGGACAGGATGGCAGACAGCGTTTGCCTCCTGCAATATTTAAGTTCAATACATTTAAATCAGGCCTGCAAAACATATGGTCTGTGGGTTGCACAAAGCTGGTTGGCAGCCCACAATTATTTTTAATTTATCAATGTGATAATATTCCCCCTCTACCTCTAGAGCATACGCAGATGTTGTGCTGTTCTTTTGGAGGACATTGCAGAGGTGGTTGTAGAAATTCCTAAGACAGAAGACAGTGAGCAACAAGAAAGTTCTGGAAACAATGAGATGCAATAGGGAACGCATAGTGACTTCCTCTGACTCAGAATTTCTGCCTAAGCAGTGGCTAAGGGTAGAAACCAGGATTCCAGTTCGACTTTAGACATGAAAACTCTAAAGTGATTTTGGGCCAGTCACTCACTCCTTGCCCAACTCACCTCACCGGATTGTTGTTGAGGGGAAAATTATAGAAAGAAGGAGTATTAGATACGTTTGCTGCCTTGAGTTGTTTATAAAAACATAAAGATGGGATTTAAAAAAACCTAAAATCTAATAAATAAATTCAGTTCCAAAGTATTGCTGATGAAAATACTGTGGATATTTTATATTATACTTACACTAAAATAGTTCAGTTGGTAAGCTCAGGAGCTCCCGAATGTGATTAATTAATTTGAATTTATGTCACAGTTTCCTATCTTTTAGTTATTATTTATTTAGCGTATGGCATATCATGGAGTCAGTCATAATTTTTCTATGTTCTCTCACTAATGCATCTTGCCTTCGTAAAGCTGGCGGTGCTATATGGCTCAGAACAGGAAACCAGCAAACCATCTGCTTGTAATCCTCATGGTGTCATTGAGTCTGGTGTCTAACTTACTAGTATAGCAGCTGTTAAGCCATATAGGGGCACAGTATTCTGCTGCCGAGTAGCATGTTGATGACCTGTGGATGGCAGCTGAAGGTCCCCATTTAGTTCCACATAATTTCTGGAATATGTTGTATCTTATCTTTTAGTATTTCCATGCTACCAACTTATCCACATCAAACAATGTGAATATCAGTAACGATTTTAAGTGTGGCTTACTTACTTAGGAAACAGTTGAAACATCGTCAAAAACCCTTTCCCGCTGATGTAATGACTTTATAGGTGTAACTGCCCATGCCTTCCTATAAACAGTTTCCTTTTTTTTCTTCTCAAAAAGAAAACCATTTCTAATATTTCCTCTTTCTCTGAAACATGCATATCTTGCTGAAGAATTAATGAATATGTATGGAGAGTCACACCTCTACCCCAGACACAGATGTAGAAGTAATCCATATGAATAGCATAAAAAGCAATCAGGGTGTTGTATAAAATCATTCATCAAACACAATTGCATTATGATATTTCTTCTTCAGACAGCCAAATTAAGGGTAAATTGAGAATCAGCAGAAATGGTATTGACAGGCCATCTTGTAAGTTCCTTCTAATCTTTGTGGGGAGGAAAACCTAATCACATTTGACCTTTCACAGCTGAAATGATTTTTTGAAGCCTTCATATTTTTTGGAAGATGGATATTCACTCTTTCTCTTTTAAAGAAAAAAAATTGCCTGCATACTTCCTATGCACAGTACAAATTTCTCCATGTCCTCATAAATACTTATTGCATTTGTGCTGAGTATTAGAGCAGTGAATTGCAAAAAAATATTTATTATAATGTGGGGTTTGTGTGAATATATACATGTCCTTCAGAACAGTTCTGTTTTTAAGCCTTCTCTAAAGTTCAATAGTGAAGGAACTACCCAGATTTCTACTAGGAGGTTGTTTCCCAGAGGGACATTTTGTCACTAATGAAAAATAGGGGTTTCTTGCCTCCCTCCCAGATCTTAGGCCTTAATCACTCCTATCAGAGATCCACATACTGGATGGATAGTATTGACTCAAAGGAGACAGACAAACCTGAACATACCTACCAAGTAAGTCAAAATTAGCATTTTTGCTATGCCTTGGGTAACCATTTGTAATCTGTTGGTTACAATTAGTAATGTAACATTGGTATTACTTGTGAATATTAATTCTAATACTCCCAACAAGCAAACGGCTACATTTTGTTTTATCACATTTTATACCTGCGACTATCATAAGATTCTTGGTAACTTACAATAATTACAAGTCATTTAAATAAAATGTTCATGCATAAAATCAATATCAATAACTGAGAGCAAGGCCTTCAGCAACCCACACACCTGGACCCCATCATAAGGCTTCAAAGTTTTGCAGGTATCCCTAATAATTATTTAAAAGTAATAATCCCATTATCTTCCCATGGTTGTGTATGCCCATTTTTGAAAAACAGATTATTTCAAAGTGTTTCATGTGAACCTTGTGAACATTTTAATTTCCTACTCAATCATCCCCAAATCCCCGCCTGGACTATTGTAATGCTCTCTACATGGGGCTCCCCTTGAGGAGCACCCGGAGGCTTCAACTGGTCCAGAATGCGGCCACGCGGGCGGTGTTGGGAGGGACTCGTCGCTCCCATGTAACACCGCTGCTGCGCGAGCTGCACTGGTTGCCGGTGGCCTTCCGCGTGCGCTTCAAGGTGTTGGTTATCATCTTTAAAGTGCTCCATGGCATCGGACCTGGATATCTCCGAGACCGCCTTCTGCCGCAGGTTGCCTCCCATCGGCCGGTACACTCCCACAGAGTGGGTCTCCTCAGGGTGCCGTCAGCCAGACAGTGCCGGCTGGCGACCCCCAGGGGGAGGGCCTTCTCGATGGGAGCCCCCACCCTCTGGAACGAACTACCCCCAGAGATCCGGGTGATCCCGGATCTCCCCTCCTTCCGCCGCGCCCTAAAGACATGGCTTTTTCAACAAGCGGGTCTGCCCTAGGGAATTTTAGTGGGGTTTTTAAGGGTAATTTTAAGGGTAATTTTAACGATTGGCCTTTTCAAATATTTTCTTTTAATTTGGTTTTAATGGATATTTATTGTACTGTGGTTTTATAAGGCTGTTAGCCGCCCTGAGTCCGGTGAGGAGAAGGGCGGGGTACAAATTAAATTATTATTATTATTATTATTATTATANCTCCCACAGAGTGGGTCTCCTCAGGGTGCCGTCAGCCAGACAGTGCCGGCTGGCGACCCCCAGGGGGAGGGCCTTCTCGGTGGGAGCCCCCACCCTCTGGAACGAACTACCCCCAGAGATCCGGGTGATCCCGGATCTCCCCTCCTTCCGCCGCGCCCTAAAGACATGGCTTTTTCAACAAGCAGGTCTGGCCTAGGGAGTTTTAGTGGATTTTAAATTGGTTTTAATCAAATTTTTAGTAGAAGCGGCCAAATTTGAATATTTATTTTTAATCATTTTTAAATTTTGTATTGTATTGTATCATTGTTTTAAACTGGCTGTAAGCCGCCCTGAGTCCTCCGGGAGAAGGGCGGGGTATAAATTTAATAAAATGAAAAAATGAAATGAAATGAAATAACAAGCGTCGGGGCATGCTGACTTCCAGTGTGGTGTTGGTTCACAATAATGCTCGCCCACACACCGCTGGACGCACCCAGGAACTTTTGAAGCAGTTCCATTGGGATGGTTTTGATCACCCCCCCAATAGCCCAGATTTGGCATCAAGCGACTACTACTAAGGAATTTCAAACCTTGTAAGATGTTATGACAAATGCCTCAATTTGAATGGTGATTATGTCAAAAAATAACGTAATGTAGTTTTCTAATGTGTACAATAAAAGTTCTGTATCTGAGAGTGTCTTGTCATTGATAACCAAATGGAGGTTTATTTCCGAATTGCCCTTCTATAATACCTGTATCTAATCAGAGGATATGCCTTATTTTATACTCTGTAGTTTATGTATTTGAATAGTCAACAGTGGTGTCCTGATGCCAACAACAGAATTTTCTTGATTTGCCCTCTTGTACACATGTCTCCTCTCTTCTCAGATGGCTGATGGGAGGAGATAGTGAAGGCAAACAGAAAATAGCCCTGTTGCACAAGCAGACTTCTAGTCATGGAGTGTTCAATGTAGTCTCAGTGGTATTGTTTGTCTATTATGAATAGTGACAGATCTCGTTTCTCTTTCTTTGTAGGTATTTATATCTGCTCTTCTCCAATGATGATCTCTTACCTTTGGATCACTGGGTTTTTAACACAGAAGCTCACCCCCTGCCAGTTTTACATCTAGCCAATACGACACTTTCAGGAAATAATGCATATCGATAAAAACTATTCCAGGAAAAGGACAGGACAATCTACATTAGCTGTGTTTTGTTTACATGGACCACTTCAGATTTCAGGCTTGAGAGAAGACTTATGTGTGTTTAAATAAGACCTTCAGAATGACGAGAGAAGTACTGCACTCTTAAGCATGTAGATAATTGAAAAATTCCATTTTATATGACCAAAATAATTTGTGCAGTATATGGCAGAAAAAGACCTTGTATATTTGCAACAGAGAAGGTGGCGCATGATGTTTGAAGGATTCAAAGGCTGGGTTAATATCCCAGCCACAGGAACAAGCTGCAACTATTGAGATTGACCATTGTAGTAAACATTGTCCTGCCCAAATAATGTGGATTCCTGATAGTTTGTCATTTGCTTCCCCCCTCCCACTTGGTGGCATGAGCAAAGCAATGCAAGGCGACAAAAGTGCACTAATAGCACCCAGATTTCAAGTTCTTTGACTGCTCTTTTGAAATTTCTAAACATCTTCATCAGTCTGTTCAGACTGGCAACCATTCCCAGTGCCTCTGAGACCCTTGCCTCTTTTTATTATCAATAATACTGTGGATCAACCATTTGTTCTTGTTGTTCATGAGTAAATGGGTTAGGGAAAGGATCAGCAACTTCTTTCAGTCTGTCACTTTAGGATATGGAAATCTTCATTCAGTACAGAGTTGTTTTAAACACCCTCATGACAAAATTGCCCAATGATATTTATCATTTGGCCAAGATTTCTTTCAACTAAGTTGCAATAACTAACATTTGTCTATGAATCCTGGAGTTTCACAAGGATCTCACTCTTTATTTGTACAGTATTCAAAACGTGTAGAGTAATCCTGTAAAGAGACAGTCTTTACCAATTTTAATTCCTTTGATGAAGACTCACCTGGGTATAATGGTGCTTCTTTAGGGATCTTTTGTAAAAGCTGGAGTCGGCAGAGGAGCTTTTCAACCTTCACACCTATCTGTCTTTGAAAGTCTGAAATCTGGTCATTTGATCTTCAAGTATCTGGAAACAATGTCACCCAAGACAACAGAGAACAGATCAAATGGAATTTGAAAGTAAAATTTATTTTGCAATACATTTTTGTCACTACTAGATGTCACAGACAACATTTTGGGATAAAATAGCTTTTTCAAAACTTAAAAATGGATCTTTCAGTGAGCTCCCCACTTCTGTTAAAGAAAAACACTTGGGCATAATTTTTTTTGGGCAGGAAATATAAAATATGTGAATATTATTTATGTATATTGGAATCAAAATTCTTGATGAATACAGATAACACATCTTTATTATTATTGTCGGTGGTGGTATGATTCCTTTTTAAAAATACTAAAATTTAAAAGGCTGGTTGGAATAGCCTTTGTTGACCAAGTTTTCCTATTGGCGCTTTAAGGATATAACAATTCAATTACTGCGAAAGATAATTTAATGCATGTTGCATATTGCAGTCCCAGTGAGAAGATTGATGCAATGCTTACTGCAAAGTGTGGTGCCGGTGAGTCTAAGAATCTGCCCAGCCCAAATTGTGTTGCATTCCACTATGAAATCCATATTCTACATGTTTCTGGCCCATCTAGTTGCAGGGATAAATTTGTGGGCCAATCGCAATGAACATATCCAAGTTGAATTCCAGATATGAGGGCACTGAAATTCACCTGTCTTGGGTTCTGGCATACATTTTAATGTTCTTCATAATCATTTTTCACATGTTCATATCCAGGCTGTTTTCTCCTTTTCCTCTTCTCAAAATCAGTATTCTAAAATAAGTTTTTAAACCAAGGACATGTGCAGTTTGAGACAGTATTACAGGTTTATAGAATTTGAAATAAATTTTAGTACTGTTGAGTCTTGAATTGAATTGTAAGATGGCAACTGATGTTACTTATATTTATCCATATAAGACTATAGTATTTTTAGTGAAATCTGCGACAAATTTATACATATCAAAAATATTTATCTGCTGAAAAATATACCATCGGTGACTAAAAGTTCTCAACTCTCATAGAATGAAATTTGACTTAATTAAATTAAATGAAAATGTTCCAGCTACATTCTGTGTATGGAAATAATGGATCAAACATAATCATTGTGTTTGAAATATTACATTATTATTATTTTTCCTTTAAATACAAACTAAATATTTCTTTTTTTCACTTTTGATAGAACTATATGTTGTAAGCAGTGCAATATTGTCTTAGGAATTATTACACAGACTTCTTAAATCTCGTTGCATAATAGCATCATTAATAGACCCAATATTATTCTGATGGTCAGTTAATCTTTCCCTTGCTTTATTTCCAAAGTTGTTTTTACAGACCACTGTGCATTTATTGTACCAGTTTTCATGTTGCTTCTTTTCTCCTTCCCTTGCTGGTTATTAATGTGCAAGAATGCAGTGATTATAAAATGTGCAATTAAAAAGTGAATGTTATTTCTGGACCACTGCAGGAGAATGATAATTTTAAATGTATTACATTTCTACATTCTGTGTTAAGATTTTATACTTTCTTCTAAAGTCTTTTAAGTCTAAAAAGGCTTAGAAATTAATAAACAAAACTACAAGATATCATGGCTCCTGATAACCAGAAATAATAACCACAATGGGTTCAAAAAGCAGACACAGCTCTTTTTTAAAAAAGAAATTGCCTGAAGAAAAGACAGGAAACTAAAAAATGGATTATTGTTCACAATCTGCCTTCATTGGCAGGAAAGGTCACAAATTCCTAGTTCAACCTGCATCCTTGGAGATAAATTGTTCCTTAACTATAAGTAAATAGCCATCTTCCACAAGCATTATGTTGCACTGGATTATTCTTTCCAACCCAAACAAATGCGTGACAGAAATTCTGTGAAGAGTCTTGGGCTTCCCTCAACAGGATAACTTCCAAAACAGAACAGGACAATGACTCCAAACACTGGACTGAATGGAAGCAAATTTGGTGTTTGGGGCAGAATAGAAATATTGATCAAAAGTGGGCAAACCTTGTTGGGCTGTGAAAGAAAAAGAAAAATAAATCCCCTATTTTTGAAGAGGTAGTTAGCTAGTTGTTTGAAATGTAGTTAACTCCTCCATTCTAAGACCCCCTTTCCCTTCCCCGTGAGGCAGAGTTTCTGGATTGGAAAGAATTCTAGAAGCCACGGTCTGCATGCTTTCCCTACCTTTGTTAATTTTAGAAATCTGGTATATCCATCCTTTGTGCAATCAGCTTTGATTTCAGATCTGATTTCAAGATATAAATATATATACTATCATTAAGTCATTGTCAGAAAGGAATCCTGGAAAGATAATTTGAACACTTCAAGGTGTCTTTTTGCTTAGTTAATTAATCACTGTCTTTAGGTGCAAACACTGTGCAAGGAGGGGGGAAAAGATCCAAACTGAAAACTGCAGCTAAGCATTCATACACAAGCATCCAAAATCCAAAGTTCTCCAAGTTGTCAATGTCATATGGACCTCACCATCCTTTTTAGCAAAGTCAAAAAGACTTGTACATCTACTCAGGATTGGCATTGTTGGCCACTTTCTAAGACCCACAGTTATCCAGGGAATCCTCTGTCAACTTTCAGAACAAGGGGCTCTGCTGCAGCCCCTTGTTGCTTTTCCCAGTTCTGCCCTCTTGACCTGACAGAGCAATTGGGTCTAAAAGAGTGCAAGTGAATGGGTACAAGCTGTAATAAAGAAGTGGGCAACTCTAGGGCGGGAGCTGGTGCCTAGAGGTTCACCAGGTAGACACTATATTTGTTTATGCTTAAGTTTAATTTTGGCATGTGTTTCCCCACTCCATGAACAAAGACAATGGGGAAGGAAAATGGAGCTTATGATATAATGGAATACTGTATAAGCAGAATGTGGGTTGGCTGTAAGAGAAAATTGCTATTTTCAGCAGCATTCCAACATCTGTCATAATATATATTTTATCAGAAGATGACTTCTGTGTTAAATAAAAATAAATCTTTTGAGAGTTGGAGACTAATAGTAGAGGTGAATAATTCAATTATTCATAAGCAGGAAAGTTCAAAGTGATTAAGACTGTTGTTAATAGCCCTTCAATTTACTTATAATTTTATGGCTATGTTCTGAAAATCAGAAATGGGATAAATATATCTCTGATAATTATTAAAACAAATTTAATTGGTATTTAATTATTTAAAATACTTTTGTTCCATTGTGGGGAAAAAACCTTACTATTTTCTAATTGCTAGGAAGATGAGCTTTGCTCAGGTTATTCTATTTCCATCTGTTGGGGTTTTTTAATTCAGAAATATGGAGAAATACTATCATATTCTGGTTTCTCTTTTGCTGTGTTCAGAAGAATATGAAAAAACCTGGAGGAGAGAGATTACATGTTGTACGTCTGCAAATATCCCAGAATAAATGTATATACCATGGAGAAAGATTGGATAATTCAACCTCATTGATAATTTTTTCCCCTTTAATGTAATTAGAGTTATTAACCCACTTAGGTATATTTCTTCACATAAATGTGAAACATAATACACTACCACAAGTTTTATATTCTGTTTCAAAGTAAATGTAAAGCTATTTGATACAAGAGTTACATGTATTCACAGTTGGCTGAACGATTGCAAGGAGTGATTATTGGCTCCATTTCAGCTTAGAGGAAGTATTAAATAGGATGCCAACAGGCTCTGTGCTGGGCCTCCACAGTTCAACATTTTGATGAGGAAATTGAGGAGCTACTTACTCAGTTTGCAGGTGGCAGAAAGCTGGGTGAGGTTGATAATATTTTGGATGAAAGAGAAAATTCAACAAGATGTTAGAACACGAACTAAATGAACAAGATGAAATTTAATGAGAAATACAAAGTTCTGCATTAGAGTAGGAAAAATATAAGGCACAAGTATAGGATGGAGGAAACCTGGAGAGGCAATAGAGCATATAAAAGGAATTTTGGTCATCATAAATTAAATATGAGCCAGATGTGTGATTTAGTTGTGAAAAAGGCTGATGCTATATTCACATGCACTAACAGAAATACAGAGTTCAGGTCACCAGCCATAATTGTTTCTTTGTACTCAGCCCTGATCTGGTCTCATTCAGAGAACTGTGCCCAATATTGAGATTCCATGTTTTTTTTTTTTAGTAAATAAGAGTTTGTATTGTTCATGGCTACTGCTGCATTGACCCTAGCTTTGGTGGACTCATTTCTCACAACGTTTAAGAAATTAGGAGAAGTGAAGAAATTAAATTAATTAATACATTGGTTGTATTTGCCATTCAACAAGGTGAAAATACAAAATTATTAGCAACAGTCAGATTTGAGGCCATATATAAAATGAGAATAATATACTTTAAATAATTTACAGTGTATTGATATATTTGGTGCAGTCTAATTTTTCTAAGGATAGGCTACTGTTAAATTGTTAACTGTTAAAATTTTTGTTTTCAGAAAGAAAAAACATGTTAACAGAAATGAGATCCTGTGCCTCGCCCATAAAAGTCTGGTGATTTTTTAAAAAGTTGACCTACCCTAGAATGTAGCCAGAATACATAGTCTAATTCACTGCTTGTTCATATAGGGCAGGGGTGTCAAACTGACGGCCCATGGGCCAGTTGCATCATGTGGAGGCCGCGCCCACCCCAGCTCCAGCAATGCGAAAAAAGTTGCAATATGTCGCGACACGTCACGTGATGCAGTGAGTTTGACACCTGTGATATAGAGCCTCTGTTTTTTTCCTGCATGAAATTATTAATGACTGATAGCTGAATGTGTGACTTGATCACTTTGGAAAGTATATTCATTGTGGCCTTGGGTTTCTGGTGGGTTTTCATAGTTGCAATTCCCCAACTGGTGAATGTGCTAATGTGAATAAAAACTTAGAAACCAATACTATATAGTTTTGCTTGAAGAGTACTGTGCTTAGGATTGCTATCTTTGTGAGAATTGATGGACACCCTTTATTTTTCAATAGAACCCCCAGATCACAATGAATTTAATACTTTTTAAATTGAGCATTTTAATGTAGAATATTAAAGATTCCGTTTCTGAAAGACTAAAAGCATTAAGTCAGTTCAGTCGAGCATATTCCCAGGTAAGGATGAGTAGACGTGCAAGCTGGTAACCATTTTCTTCATCATTTGACTGAAGTCAAATCCTTCAGTCTTTCCTTTTAAAATGGTTTTTAAAAAATATTTACAGTAACAGAAAAAGGAAGAATGTAGCTGGAATTTTTCTTTTTTAAATTTGACTTGTCTTCTGAGAGCATACTGTAGGTGTTTAATAAAAGCATGATTCTTACTTTAATATCTGCAGATGAACAATTTCTACATGTTTACAATTATGTATTGGAAACAATCCTTTTAAGACAACCAAGTCCCCCACATTTTTTAAAAAATACTGCAGTTAGACTCCTAATGTGTACTCAGTATAAATACTCTCTGAATATCTTGCCCAGTTATTTTTCATACTCAGACACAGGACAACACACCAGTTTAAAAAACATTTCCTTTTCTCCAGTATGAATATTTTTTAATATTGTGCATTGGACATTTGACAACAAGCTACACAACCAGGAAGCCTGGCTCATTCTTGAGACAAATATAAAGCAGCAGTGGAAATATTGTTGATCAGTTCTGCTATTTGGTACCTTGTGTGATCCTCTGTGTGCATACCCAACCTGGGTAAATTATCCCAAATTATGTAGAAGTGTTTTTTCTTTGAGTAACAACAAAATACTACTCACTACAACAGAGACATTTAAATTGACATTTAAATACCACATGTACTAAAATATATTTGAAAATCTCCCAAAGTATTCCTATTAAGATGAAAAATGATGAAATTACCAGTGTTAATTTGTTGAAATGACATTATTTTTATAAAACAGGTAGACCTTGATTTATGACCATTTAGCAGTAGAGTGCTGAAGGAAAGGACTTCAAACTACTCTTCAGTGTGTGATAAGACTTTGATACCATGTTTTCCTGAAAGTAAGACCTACCCTGAAAATAAACCCCAGCTTGATTTTTGGGGGTGGGCCTAATATAAGCCCTACCCCCAAAATGAGCCCTAGTTTTGGGGCGAGGCACACACCTAAAAATCAACCTGGGATGGGAGTGTGGAGCTGCCCAACATGGCCCACACTCACTTACCTTGCAGCCAGTCCTCTCCTCGTCGGCCCACTTCTTCTGCAGCGTCCCCAGGCCTGCATTTCGCAGTCAGAGGCCTTTCTGGAAGGCCACTGCAGCTGAGAACTGAGCTATGGATTTAATTCATAGCTTGGTTCTGCAAGGCCTCTGTAGCCAAGAACCCAGCTATGGATTCAATAGCTGGATTCAATCCATAGCTTGGTTATTGGCTGCAGAGGCTTTTTGGAAAGGCCTCAGAGCGAAATGCAGGCCAGAGTTCCATTCTCAGCTGTAGAATGAAGCTGCTCCTTCAGCCGCAGAAGTGGGCCAATTGGGCAGGGCTGTTGGTGCTGGAGGTGAGTGGAAAAGACCCCCCCCCCCAAAAAAAGACCTGGTGCCTCTTGGAGGCAAAAGAAATTAAAATAAGACCAGGTCTTATTTTCAGGAAAACACGGTAAGTGCTTTTGGGCAATA